ACTTTGCCGTCAGGTTGATCGTGAGAGGTTTTTGTGGTCTTCCTCCCCATGTAACGCAAATGCGGGTTAGTTCCATCAAAAAGTCCTCCACGATGGCAAAATTTATCCCAATACTTGATCCAGGAGTTCCATTGTCTTCTGGATTGGGTTAAAAATTACAAAGCTATGGAGTTGAACATTAGTAGTCAAAAACCCAAAAATTGGGTCGGCAGCTCAACGACGGTTATAAAATATAAAATGATAATGGCATAATGAGGTGAACCAGGTTTGAAACCCAGCGATGCTGGCTGATACGTTTGTTCTAATTATGAAACTTGCATAATACTGATCAAGTCTTTCTCTAGAAGCTAAGATCTTCAAGGACACAGTTCTACCAGCGCTAAAGTTCTCTCTGCCATTAAACTTCTACCATCAAATTTTATTTTTGAGAAGCATTTAGGTTCTTTTCTAAATTAATCAGTATAGCATAAATCAGACACATCAAATATTAATTTCTAGCTCACTAAAAAAAACATAATAATATTTCATTAAAGAAATGGCAACTAAATTCAATTCTTATAAAAAAATTCTTTTTTTTTTTAAGTGTGCTTAAACAATGAGAGATTTTAATTGAATTACATGCTGGAGCATCTCAATAAAAACATCTTATAAAATTATAAAAAATTAAGATTTTCTGATAGTAAATTGACTGTCCCCAAAAATATATTCTGTAACTAAGATAATCCCATTTTTTTCTTGATAGGGTAGAAATTTTTAAAAACAAATTGAGATCTTGCGTCAAATTTTGCTTCAACTGAACAAAGAAAAATTTTTAAAAAATTAATGCCATATTGCCACAAACCTGTAAAATATGTATTTCTATCACGCAATTTTCACATTCTGATAACTGAGAAAATCCTACCTGACACATAGAAAATCAGAATTACGAGATTTTAAAAAATTTGTATCATATTGTAAAATTAACAGAGAGGATAATGTAATAAATCTAGCAAGAAGTACTTTATCTTGATTAAGTGCACTTTATACACATAACATTCCAAGTTTTAAAATAAATATTTTAAACTTTCTTCGAATATTTAAATAAAAAGGCATTAAAAACTAAAGAACTTTCAATTTTATCTACCACTGTGTAACCTATTCTAATTATATCCCATGTTGAATTATTAATTAACATCATTATAAAAGATCAAGCGGAAAAAACAGTTCACGTCCATTTTTTATGAAAGTGACAATTAGATGGCCATCTGTTCCTCTTTGAGGATTACTAAGCTTTGACAAATAAATAACATGGAAAATTAGTTCTACTCAGGAGTTATTACATTATTGAGATAGACGGGGCAGGTAAAAAACAGTTCCTGAGCACTTTGAATTTTTTCTTAGAATCAGCTTTCATGCGCATAAAACATCCCCCGTCCCTCAATCTTCAATTACTTCTGATTACTGATTTAGTTTAAATCGAACTAATCGCCCCCTTTTTATCATATGCACACCAAGTAATTAAAGAAACAAAAATTTCAAACAAAAGCAAGTTTCAGAACTATGTGATGTCTTAAATATTCAAATTCTACTTAACATTTTTACATAATAATATATTTACATGTATTTGTGGCACTGTGGCGTGATCAATGTTGTTCGCCTCCGTGACTTTGGTTCACAGGTGCCCACTGGGTAACGTTAAATGAGCAACCCTTCCGGCATCTTCTAAGGCGAAGAACGAAAGTTCAGTGCCTGCCGTTATTAAAAAAATAATAATATTTTCATTTCTTTGTAGGGTAATGAAAGCATTGGGTGAATGTATTATTATGAAGACTGAAATATACTGTACCAAAGAAGATGTTGATAATTTAAAATCAATTGCCAAAATATTTGGGCCACAATACCAGCAACAGTGCAATAAAACGGGAATTATCAAATCATACACAATTGAGTTCTCCATCTTAAACTATAAGAGTAATCACACAAAAAAATAATAAAATGTATCAAAGTACTCGTTTTATAATAAATATACTTAAAAGTTGCAACCTTTATTACCTTCTCAATTTTGAAATCATTAAGCATGTAATTAAAATGTATAAAACGAAGATTTAACACTTAAATTATTATGCTTATAAAAAATAATTTAAGAAAACCACACCACTAATCAGTCACCCTAACATTGCCTTGAAATCTGAAAAACACAAAGCTTATTTTATACATACATATATATATATAGTGAAACCTCTGTTAAGCAGACATTCTTGGGACTGAAAAAAAAAATTTCCATTTATGAGACTTGTCCGTTTTGGAAGGGTACCCTAATACTGAAGTTTAACACCATAAATTGATTTTAGAATATTTTCAAAGATATAGAAATAATTAAATAATCTACAATAACTATCTACAAGGATATTTTTTTAATCTTCAAAAAATATTTTTTCAATAAAAAATATAAAAAAGTTTGTTATCAATACATAATTCTAGTCGTAGCTACAGATAAATAAAATTTTCCTATTAGCATACATATTCAAGTTAGACATGTGATACCAAATAGAAGCTTTAAGTCTTCAGTTGGAATCAATTATTAGGTTTACATCCCGTAACATCAACCTATCACTTGATAGGAAACATAGTTAATATCTCCTTGAAAGTAATCCTCCCACGATTGACAGAAGAAGAAAAAAGCAAGGCATACATGTAAGTCATGAGAACTTATGGTGTTGATTATTCACAATTAATCATCTATCAAGTGTCTGAATAAATGTTTCATTCATATGAACACTTCAAAGATTATACTTCTGCTTTCTTTTTTTACCCCAGATGTGTTAAATGCAATCTTCAAATTGATAAGAAAATGAAACAAATTTTAAGATGGGAAGCATTGAGAGCATTTAAGACCTCATTTCAACTTGAGGGGTCTCATAACCTGTGTTGTGCAGATAAAAAGATCATAAGATGCTGCTATCTGAATTACTTCACAAGAGTAGTACCATTTTCTCTCCTTTCTTTGCAAAGATAAGACAAGGTGATGGGAGGAAGATTGATTCTTTAGTAGTGAAATTGCACAACAATATCTTTAGTTACGGATAAGGCAAAAAAATTACATGCTTTTAAAAAGGTGAAAAGTTGAATTTTTTCTTGTAATTTAAAGCAGAAAAAAAAATTCCAAATTTAGAAAGCGTAGTGTCCGGTTTGAAGAAATAGAAAATAATGTTTCAGGGCAAAATTACTGTCTGCTTTGCAGGGAATGTACTTACTGGTTTATTCATAGAATATTCCCGAGGAATTAAAAATATGTCCATGTTGAGGGGTGTACGTTTTGCAGAGTGCCCATAACAGGAGGTTTCACTGCATATATACATATATATAGGTAGATACATGCATATAAAATTTATAATACCCTACACCTAATTGTACTTAAACTCATTCAACCACATAAAACTGAAAGTTCATATGATCTTAAGCAAATATCCACAATACCTAACGGATTTATTATTAATCGATATATTAAGGCCACAGTACTTAAATATTTCTAGAATAAAAATACTTATATACTTCTATAATAAATATACTTAAAAAGTTGCAACCTTTATTACCTTCTCAATTTTGAAATCATTAAGCATATGATTAAAATGTATAAGACTAAGATTTAACACTTAAATTATTATGCTTTTAAAAAATAATTTTAAAAAATCACACCACCAAGCTCTCTGCCTAAAATTGCTTTGGAACCTGATAAACACAAAATTTATAATACATATATATTATAATACCCTACTCACAATTGTACTTAAATTCATTCAACAACATAAAACTGAAAGTTTATATGATCTTAAGCAAATATCCACAATACCTAAGGGATTTATTACTAATCGATATATTAAGACAACATGTTCAAGAACATAAGGCTCAAGAAAAACAACAAAATTTTCTCAATCCACAATTAGAAGTAAAATGGTGGCCACTAATACTCAAAAAAGATTCCTGATTTTTCAAGACTCGTTTTATTGAAATTCTCTGATATTTCTGTAACCCTTGGCATAAATGTTATTAATTTCTGCTACATTTTAGATTTTCAAATTCATGACTGATTCCTAGAATTTTTCATGACTTAAAGAAATTACTATTTTATCCGACAAAAACACAACAAGAAATTGAAAAAAGCATTATAATAACATAAATTTGAATGATAGGTATAACCAAAACTGTTATACCCTGCATCGTTATATTTAAAAATTTTAAATTTAAAAAAAAAACAGAGTAAAGAAAGAGTTGAAGCAATAAAATAGCTGGAAAAAAAAAAACCAAAAGCAAAATTTTTTCCTACAGAATTATATTTTAAACATATTTTTCTTGTTCATCCGAAAGGAAAGAAATACTCCTAATTTTTTCTGTTCTCATTTCGGAATTGAAAAAAATTCTCTAATGACTGGCTTGCTTCAGCTAGAATTTTAAATTGATAAAATAAAAACAAAAAATAAATAATAACAAAAATTCAGAAATCACAAAAGTTTAAAAGACAATTCTCTCTAGAAATGATGTTTTTTTTCTCTCATTTTATTTACTAAAACACCATAACATTTAAAGAACATGATAAAAACATTTTATATTTTAACAAAATATGACTGTGAGTGGGGATTTTATTACAAATTCAGATATTCGGAACACCATGAAATGGAGAGAGGGGTATTTTCAAATTCCATTTCAAAAACTAGATTTTTCAGTGACTTAAATCCATGAATTTCCATGATTTCCTTTTAAAAAACAGTTAAAATCATGACATTTTATGACAAATTTTGTTCAATACCGAAATTCATGACTTTCCATGATTTTTCATGACTTTCCAGGTGTGCGGATACCCTGCATGTCTTATTCATACACATAATACAAAACATTTATACTAGCTTTTAGAGTTAAAAATAAACCATTATTTTTTTTTTAATATTTTTTTAAACACATTATTATAATTAAATCATTTCCCCTGACTTTTTCAGTATTTTAATCCAATTTCCTGATATTTCCAGATTGATAAAATTCCCAGACTCATTCCTGTTCTGTGGACATGGCCACCCTTCCTCACATTAAGCCATTGTTATCTTGTTTAACCAAAATTGGGGACCCTATCTGCATGTAGAGTGAAAAAGGGCCTGAAGAAAGTACAAGGTAAAGACAAATTAAAAAGAGAAATATTTAAATTTTTACTAATTTAGGTAAAAACTTGGTACAGTTACATTCAGGGATAACATCAACTTATTACACTTAATAAATACACTAAATAAACTAAAACTCTGAAACAATATGATATACTTTATTAGTTTTGAATGAGATAGATCGATTTTAAATATATAGTTTATAAAAGAATGAATCAAACATGAATACCATTTATGTATAACAAAACATCTTGTATCATTCATTACATCACTTTTCTAATTACTAAAAGTTTCATAATCATCCAAAATTTCCAATCTGTTCACATGAAAAGCATGATTAATGTTAAAATGATTTTCAATAGAAAAATATTATTGCCAAGAAATATTAATATATAAAAATTCCCAATGCTTGGTCCAATATTATAACATTGATTGTTTAATAAAAACTATACTAAAATATAATAAATAGAATGGCAACTGAAAAATTTTATAAAACAAAAACAGAAGTTATTAAAACAATCCATTATCAAGTGACAAAAGCATAAAATGTTTGTAAATTTTTCGTTTCCTGTAATTAATATGATTATGAACTAAATTCAAGTAATAAGGAATATCATTCAGCAAAGATGAGATTTAATAAAAAATCAGGAAACAGAATTTTGAAAAATATGTTAATATTAGTTAATAATTTATTTTGAATGATAGACAAATATAATTTAGCTTAATTAGTTTTCCACAATCCAAAATTAAAATAAAAAGTGATAATAGAAAATTTTTGTAAAATAAAAGAAAGGCTGTAAAAACTAAAAATCATTCAACATAAACAAAGATTGAATTAATACAATAATTCCATATTTAAAATTTATTCATTCTATGTATTTTTAATAACAATGTAGGTGGATATATTCCTTATTATAAAATTTAGATAAGCATTATTTTTAGAAATAATTAAACATAAATATCACATCAGAGACAAAATTATTTCCTAACATCCTTATTATAAAATTTAGATAAGCATTATTTTTAGAAATAATTAAACATAAATATCACATCAGAGACAAAATTATTTCCTAACATTTAGAAAATCTTAAATTTGACAATAATGGCTTCTTTCACAAAATGTATATAGTTTAAGACGCCAGCATGACAATGCAGTTTTTGATTTTTTATAAAATCTTCTCACTAAGATATACAAAAACTTTACATGTATTGCAATAAAATTTAATTGAAAAAAACCTGAATTATTAGAACAAAACATAAGAACAGTTGATAGCTTAAAACGCTCCTTTGGGGAGATCAGCAATTATTATTAATCTTTTAGTAACACACAAGAAACATCAGGGGAAAAAAATTTTATTTGACAAAAAAATATTGAATTTGAAAAGTTAATTCTTTATTTTATTTATTTAATCATTTATTTATTTTTTCATTAGGTTAAAGAGAAAAGTTTAGAAACTTTACCTTTGTCACAGACAATTTTCTTTTTAAAAGAAAATATCAAATATTAACTTAAGTAGTAAGAACGCCATGCAGAGTAACTCTTTAAACTATACTCATAGTGAGAAATACGTAAGTCTTTAATTTTCAATAATACTTTAAATTTCACCAATGTTTTCTAAACTTTCATAGTCCATGACCAGTATAAAATGTTTCTGATACAAATATAGATCACAAAATTCTAAATATCTATAGAGTTTGGTTTATTGCCATTATAGTAATAATGAATCTCCGATATATATTTAACAAAATTACAACAGATCTATCAATAATGAATTTTCATAAGGCATTTTAAAATCTTATCACTAACAATAGAATTAATTATAACAGAATATAAAATAATAAAGATTAATTTTTCAGATTTTAAAACAGGCAATAAAATGTCTCGGGAATCTTGAAGCGGAGTAGCAATGAACATTATATAATTGAGTAAAAGTTCTTTGGCATTTCAAACAATTCATACTTTACCAAATGCAACAAATATAAATTAAAACAAAGAGTTTATTTAAGGAAGAAATATAGTAATGTACAATCTGCCCAACATGTCCATCAAATACTTTGCATAACGTGTTATTGTTCTTTCTTCCAAAAGAATTTGTTGAAAAACTAAATTAAATAAAACTTAGTTTACTTTGTTCACTTTTACAGTTGACACAGAATAAGATTTGATCATCCTCTCCAACCTGTAAAAGTTCTACAACAAAAAGAAAAGTAAATTAAAATAAGTTACAAATGAATAACTATGAAGTTGGAACAAATAGAAATATTTTTTTATCATAAAAAAATATTAATCGAAATAAAAATTGCAAATTTTAAATTTAATTCCTTTTAGTAATAGATTTAGTTTAGATTGTAATACCAGAATATACAAAGTGAACCAGCACTATCTTCATAAATTCATATTTGTCTGCAACCTCAAGACAGTCAAAGATTATTGTAAAAATTCAGCTAATCTAACATACATGTAGCAAAATTTGGAAATATAAGGCCCTTAAAAATTATACATAAAAACTTTGTTGTTTAAAAGATGATTTTTTTTTTAAAAAAATTAAAAAAATCCCAATACAATTATACTTGTAATGAAGTTTTTGTTCTTTGTGATCCTGTCTCAATTCAGTTATTTTATTTCTATTTTAAACAAGTTTAGTGATTTTTTAAAAAGGAGTCCCGGCAATTTTCCCATTGTGATTTCTTTTTGCCTTTTAAATATACGAAAAAAACTAAGAAGAGAAATAATCTGCAGATGCTGTAATAAACTACAGCCATACTACTACTTGGAGCTGGAAGGTTTCTACTAACATAGTGAAGACATGTTTTCCTTGAAGTTAAGACTTTACACAAAGAAAGGAGACAAGGTTTAAGATCCTTACTTTTGAAAGAATGAATATCAAGACTTTAAAATAACAGTTACATTCTGATTATTTGAAGTAATAAGAGCCAGACTTACTTCGAATAATCAAACTATTTAGACTATAGAGATAACAGGAATTTTTAATCTATTTTCCTGAATAAACTCTAAAAATCAAGGTTTTTCTTTTAATAACAGTTCAATAACGTCATATTAAATACAGTTTTAATATGAACATGAATTGGTGATTTCGGGAATGATAGAGCAGATCAGTTGGCCAAGGATGCGACTCCCCTTGATATTGATTTGCCTATGTCAGTCCCGCTTTCACACTGGAAACATGTTGCTTCAGAAAAAACTGTTTTGGACTGGAACAAGGAATATTTGGCTTCACCAAAAGCTATGTGGATTAAGAAGTTCTTCCCAACTATATTTCATCGCATTAAGTGCAATAATTTTTCTACTGATTTTAAGCTGTCCCAGATTCTTACTGGTCACGGTAATTTTAAAAGTTATTTGTTTAAATTTAATTTAATTGATGATAATCTTTGCTCATGCGAACAGGACTCTGAAACTGTTGAACATATTATTTTTTACTGTAAGCTTTACTTAAGCAAAAAGAGAGAGTTTAAAAAAGGAGTTGAGACTTTCTGGAACTTATTGGCCACCTGTTTTATATTCTTTAGTCATGTGCACTGAATACCTTACTATTTTGCGAAGTTTTGTGTACAGTTTAAACTTTTAATTCTTGTTCTGTTTCTTCGCAATTTTTTTTTTCTTTTTCTTTTGTACTTTGCCCACTTACTTCTGTAAGCCTCATGTTATACATTGTGGAGCATGAGGAGTTGTTTAAATAAAACTTAATTTAAAAAACAAAAATATGAACATTTAATAAATGTTTTTTTAAAACATACAGAAATTTTACATATACATTTTATTATACAATTTTTTTTAAATAAAAAGAAATTTTATTTTAAAATTCACTAGCACTATTATCCCAGATAGCAGCGCTCCTTCACTTCTATTTTTGATAAACCATTGGCACAAAGCAGCATCTAACTCTGAATCACATGCTGGTTTTATTGATTTTTGAAATTGTTTTCAATGATTTATGTATTTTTTCGAAACAAACTTTATAATGCTTCCTCTTCTCTCCATTTACAGTAGAATATTATGCAGTCTAGTCATATTGATTTGACCACCTGTCAACAGCAAGAATGATCAGCTGTTACAATACAGACCACAGATAGACATACAGGAAGAAAATTCCTTGAGGTTCTGAAAATTACTCAAAGGGAAGTGAGGTTATGCTGACTCAAGCATTGTGAGAAAAATTAAACAAATTGATAAACAAGAATCCAGCAAACCAAACATTTAGCCCATAAAAGACAATGATAAGTCAGTTTTGAAATAATTAGTTCGAGATGTAAAGTGAGTAAGAGGTGCAAACTTTCTAACTGGTCTTCTTACTAGAGGAAAAATATTTTTTAAATTACAGATCTTAATTCAATATTATGAAAATAGTTCAGAGTTTGAATGTTTGAATAATTGCTTCTTTTTTTTTTTGCTGTGTCTTGATTAATTAATGTTATCATTAAATTAAATGTTATTCAAAAAGAGGATAAGCTTTTTCTTCACATTACTAGATAGTGTACTAGATAACAATCTAAATGATATAATTAAAGTTCACCTACATACTAGTAACTGTTTAACAAAATATTATGAAACTCAAAACACTTCTTAATGAAAGAAAATAAAATTGAATATAATTAGAAACTAGTAAAATTTGTCCTCTGGATAAAAAATTTAAAATTATAGATCTATTTACAGCTGGGGTTTTAAAAGTTATGGGGAGGTGGTTCTGTAATAATTGGACCCCCAAAAAAATTAAGTTTTTTGACCATTGTCAGAAGGTTTAAAAAAGAATTTCCACTTTTTCGAGGAAGTCTTTCATCCCTGTAACTTATCAAATTTCATTTTAAAAAAATGACAATATTAAAAAGAGGGGAACCAAAAATGTGGTGAAGGATTGGATTAAATACACTCTAAATGGATAAAAGAGATAGAAGTGATTATGGAGTATCAACCTCAAAAGAAAAAATCACAATGATATGTAAGTAAAACAAAAATAAATAAACAATGCTAAATATGTCTCACACATAAAAAAGAAAAAGATATTAATTTGCAAACAAAGCATAAGGGTTGTGAAAGTGTTGTGAAACTTTTATTATCTGAAGAGGTTGGACCCTCCTAGGCACAAATGTATGAATTAGAACTATAATCCAATGATTTTTTTTCATTAATAAAAATAATTACAAAAATAACAGTTTTAAAATAAGAGAATCATAAATATTAATGTCTACTTACTGTTATTAATAGATAAACAACTCCTAAATAGCTAGCAATAATTAACGCAAGAAACAAGTCAAAAACGGCAGGTTTCACTCTAAAAACAAAATTTTTAAAAACTTAAGTCACACATAAAGTACAAAAAAAATAAATAAGTGACATGGTAAAACAGACTTTTAATTTGGTGAAATACACAAAAAAAAGGATAAATTTTGAAAACATTACATTTTATCATTTAAAGAGTAGCATCAAACTGAGTAAATTATTCTAGCTGATTTAATACAACACTGACAAATTCAATGTAAGGCTAAAAATAATTTTGATAAATAAGGCATTGCTGCACACTTGTATGGTTATTGAGGAAAATGTTTCTTTATAATAACAGCATTTATAAAGCATAAATTTTGATATTTTACGTTTCAAAAAATATGAAAAGGTTCATAAAACTGTTATGAAAAATATCTTGGCTTATGAAAAATATCTTATGTGCAAATATATATTATCATTCATAATTTAATGTCACATGGCATTTTTTTGTCTCCTGGTATTATATACAAGAGTGATAATATACTCAAGTAAAATTTTCTGGAGAACTTGAGAAATTTTCCAAAACTATGTAGAAGTTTAATTTATACACAACCTCCCCCCCCCCTCCCAAAAAAACAATACTCTTATTTTAAAAAAAGTTTATTTTGCCTTTTTCAAGTAATATAGTTTTCAAGTTGAAAACTTTTGTTGGAACTCAAGTTGAAAATTTCAACTAAGAAACTCGGGTATAGAATTGAAAACAAAAGCTCACAAATCATTGTAACAAATAGAGTATATGTACCTTGGTAATCCTAATGACTTAGGGAGAAACAACATAATTTACAGCAGTTTTTTATACAAATAAAATGATTCTTTTTAAACTTTTGTAATATTTTGGTAAATGGCAGCTCAATATTTTTGAAAAATTTCTGACCAAAAACATCCTTGATTAATACATACTTAGTTACTAATTGAAATTAGTAACATAACACTGATATTAAGAAACAAAAAATATATAGTCAACATACCGATATGCATTCATAATGGCAACAGCAGGTTCATAAAATGTTAGTTCAGGCTCCCTAAAATAAAAACATTGATCAGCATGTTAAAATAGGCTTGATAAATGTATGCATAGACAACACCAGTTGGATAATAAACATTTCCAGGAACCAAGCTAGTAAGAAGGTAAGTAGATTTTTAAGGGGTACTCAGACTTGGCAAAATTTTAAGATTACATCTCTAATATCAATACAATAATAAGTTACATTAGTAGTTGTAACAGATGAAATATTTTTACAATACAATAGAAGAAAAATGTCAAAATATTGAAAAAAAAGTTGCATAATTTGGATGACATCGTATTATTATCTTCATAGCAAAATTATATGTTTAAAAATATAGCTTTTACATCTTAAATATACTTTAAAAATCATAAACTTGTGATACAAAATATTGTTAATCAAAATGCTACATAAAATAAAATGTACTATTTGGAGCACTTTAAATAACCTATTTCTAGATATCGCACAGACATAATATAAACTTTGAAATATTATTTTAATTAAAAACTTTTCTCACATTTTTTACATAAACCACAACTTGAATATTCATATAATATTCAGGTTGTTGTACATTGATTAAATTATAAGAATAATTAAAAAGAGCATAAAATTTTTTGTTTTTCAAAAATATGTACGCATTTAAAATTTCAATTCAACTTATTACAAATTAAAGGTTGCTTTTATTTTTGTAGCTTTTAATATATTAAAACTTTTAAAAACTAAAAGAGAATATTTTAGCTTAAGGTTTACAACTCACACTGAACAATCATTTTTAAGGAACTGTACTGAAATAAATCAAAATTTTTAAAACCTGCATTTTGTTAAAATCTCACATTTTAAAAGTATAATTTAAAACAAATAACAATATTATTGTAACAAAAATATCACTAATTGATCATAATTTGATTACCTTTTATCTGGCTTAAAGATTGAATGCTTTACATCTTTCAAATAACGTGACATTGCCTGTTCTAGGGATGATAGTAAAGGTTGTTTAGAGTGTCCAGATGCCAGCAACTGTGCACTTCTAGGCTGGGAGGATAGTAGGTCAATCCATGCTTTTAAATAGTCTTTTTGAACCAGCTATTGAAATATTTTTGCAATTAACAGAATATTCTTCTTAAGAGATAAAATAAAACTTCATACTTAGATTTATTACCACTCCAAGATAAAATTCTTTGAATAAAAAAATAAATATTTATAATTAGGAAAGAACAGATTACACAAAACTAAGAAAAAGAACAGTGTACTTATTTTTAATTTAGAGTTAATTTTTGGTATGCATAAATTGATATACTTTTAACAAAATTTTTTTATTTAACTCTAATCTCAATAACTGATTACTGCTACTGACGATTCTAAGACTGGTTATTTTCCAGGTATAATACAGGAATTTTTCAAGTTTTTGCAAAAAAAAAAATTAAATTTTCCCTAACTATCCCTGTTTTTTAGAGTCAAAATAAAATTCCCTGACAATACCAGGTTTTCCCTGTTTGTCCTGCATAAATTCTAATAATCAGATAATACTCAGAAATTAAGCATTGAAAATCTACATATCACCAGAGCAAAACACTTGCTTTATTGATGAGCCCACTTCTAATTCTGAGACATACTGCATACTAGAAGTATTTTTCAACGCAAGACTCAAAAAATAAAAGAAATACAACTCTAAAGAATGAAATCATGAGAATTTACCAAAAGAAAAAGAAGAATTCCTTTCTTCAAAAGCCAAATTTACAAATAAGCAAATTATATACTTTATTTATATGGATTCAACATTGCAATTTAAAAATAAAAAAAAACTTACCAAACCTTCTGAAAAAATTGCTGTACTCAAAACGTCACCACTTATATTATACATATGCCTTGCTAGAGCTTCTGCTATTACTTTTACATTTCTTGCAAGCTTATCTACATCAACATTTTCTCTGAAAAATATAAAAAGCAAATTATTTAGATAACTAGCTTAAATGGAAATAAGCAATTTGAAAATTTAATACATCATGAACATTAATTTATTTATCTTTTGTTATAATTTGTAATAAATTCTTTAAATAAAATCTAACATTGATATTACATTCACAGTGAATTTTTAAGAGAATTTAACAAAAGAGCTGAAGGAGATTAAGAAGTACGAATGACATTCACTATCAGAGCTTTGAAATTATTTTCTCCATTTTTCACAGATTCATTATTAGTTTAATTGCAATAGTAATGCAATTCAACGAAAAACTGCCATGTTTTTTCAATTTATAATAAAACGAAGATCTTGTTCCTGTTAGTTCAAATTTTGGATAATTTGATTATTTTGAAAATTCTCTTTAAATTCAAATTTAAAAAAGTCAACTGTAAATAAATGAATGTTTTGATGACTTTTTCTCAAAAACTTGATTATTTTTCGAAAACATATATATGTATAAAAAGGGAAGAAATTCATTTTTAAAATTGAGCCAAGTACAAGTTTACTGATATTGAATCTTGGTTGCAACTTTAAGGAATGGGACAATAAAAGAAACAGATGCTAGGAAAACTTATACTAAAAAAAAGACTCATAAATTGTGAAAAAGAATTTGCTTACTTTATTTAAATTGTTCTTTAAGCTTGACATTTTTTTAAATCAATTTTGAAAGAAAAATTACAAATATATTTATATGATTTTATGTGTTATTGATCCAGAATGTCTATGATGGTGGACAATTTAAAATTAACTTTAAAAAACAGATAGTTTACTTAATTTGAAGTAAACAAAGTAAAAAGTTAACAAAAAGTTTTTAAAAAATAAGATATCTCAAAAAAGTATAAAAAGAACCATAATATCTGTAGAATAAATAACTGTCTTGAATTAGGAGGTTATTTTGTTTTGAGAACATTTTTACACACCTTTAAAACTCTTGATTTAGTTTTTAACTTTAATTCCTTTAAACATAAAAATTAAGACAATGTCACAACATTTTTAAACATGCATAAAATGTGATGAGAATAATACAATGAAACCGACAAAATGTCAAATTCTGAGGACTGAAAAAAATGTCCATCCAGAAAAGATGATAATTTAAGAGATATACCTGATATATGAAAACATTATAACAGTAAACTCAAACAGTTTTAACTGAATATATGTAATGATTAAATAAATATATAATTTATATGTAGGGAATAACATTAATATTTTGTTAAACTCAGCAAACCATAAAGAATAAAATTCAAGGAAAACTGTACAAAATTGCACTGTACATGTATGAGCTCCTTACAGAATGTACATGGGCAAAAAAGGTGAGAACACAACACAAATTTAAAGTTTAAGCTCTGACAACTAAGTTTAAATTTGATTCACACTAAAAATTTCAAATAAAATTACAATCCCATCTAGTGACAGGAATTAACATACATTATTGCAAAAGTAAATTTTTTTTAACCAAAAGATTTAATTTGTAACATTCATGATGTTAACATAGCCAATGTAACACCAAAAACATTTTTTTTAATATTGGATAGTACAAATAAAAGAGCATGAAGTTTATTTTAAATAGAATAGCTGCTTCATAATATTCTTACAAAAAAAGTCAGTAAAAGATCAATTTTTTACAGAGAGAAATTTTTTTAGTTAAAACAATTTAGTGCTATGATGAACACCCAAAAAGGTAATGTACGCAATCACGCTATCATTTTAACAAACAAATAGACTAAATAACTCATCCTTAAAATAATTTTTCAACTGTTAAAGTTTTATTTTCTTTCACGTGAAACATAGGATTACCCAAATTAAGTAACGCACGCAGTAGTTTTTTCCGTAATTTTATTGTTTAAGACACTCTGATGTACTAAAATTCAATAAAGAAAGTTATTATAGTGTTAATTGTTCTTAAATAAAAAAGTATATTATGCAAGTAAAGAAAATTTAGTAGATATAAAGTTAGTATAATAGAATTCAAAATTTACTGCAGTTAAAAGTTATTGAGCCCACTTTTTAAGAAGTACCATCATTGTTTTACATTACATTACAGAGGAAATAGATCTAACAAAAGCTTGTTTTAAATGGTTTATATTTATCTGATCTTAGTGATGCATTTTCAATTCTTCTATCTCCACTTTTGTTATTTCTAGAGAGATAAAAATGCTTCAGTTCCTCAATAACCTCTTGCTTGTCAATGACGTCAAAATATGATGCTCTGTAGTAGAACTTTTTTGGTTCAACATCTAAGTGTAAAAAAAGGTTTTGATTTTTTACAGTCCTTGATCCAAATTACTGTTAAGAGAGAGCCTGCCCTTGGGAACAAGCACATAATGGTTTGTTTGCATAAGACAACTAAGAATTTTAAAAATTATCTCCAATGTTAGAGGTTCACCTTGGATGACAATCTACTGTACAGATTAAGGTTTTTCATGTGAAGTTTAGCTAAGCAGAAATAGAAATTAAGGAAATCTAGTCACTGGTTCGAAGGACCAGTAATTAAAGATATTACTAGTTCATATAAATTTTCATTGGTCTGTTTCAGATCTCAATTAACATTTTTTTTAAAAAAAAAAGCTGATAAAGTCAATTTAAAGGAAAAATTACAATACAGAAAATGTGTTATGTTCACAATGTGTTATGCTATTTTGTAAGAAAAACACTCACTAAAACAAGAAACCAAAAATCAAATCATACCATCTCTTTACATTGATTGGTAGTCAAAGAACCACTGATAATTTTTTTAATTGAGGTCAAAATCAAATTTAGATGTCCTAGACCAATGAATCACCATTAATTTCAAGCCCTGCCAAGTTTCACTTTAAATGTTTCAATATTTTACTACTTATAAAAGTAACTTATAAAATAGCAACTTTATACTGACTACAGTATTCTATGCTATATGTAGTTAACAATTTGAAATACAAATAAATTCAATTAAAAATTTTAAAATAGTTTTAACAGGCTTGAATAAGAATGGGTTTGTTCTGCTATACAGAGCTTTTAAAGCCTACTCCAAATTTCTTCAATTCTTGAAAAGTTTATTATTTGACAATAACGGTAAATTGTTTTATTATGATAGTGATTTTTCCATAAATACAATTCATAATTTTCCCAATAATCAATTTTTAAATATTTCCTTAGGAAAAACTACAGTAAAAAATATGAAATTCACGATTTTTATAAACTTAGGGAACATTACCACTGAATATGGTTTGATCACTCTACTTCAAACACATCAATTAAATTCTTAATTTCTAAATGCATATTAATATCTATATATTATAATCGACATATAAAAGACAAAAAATACTGTTGATGCAGTGTTTTAAACTATTTTATATTAAATTGAAAAGTTCATTTTCAAAACATAAAATTGTTTATTTATAACATAAAAAGAAGGAAGGAATATTTCCACTCTATTCTTACAGTGAAATCTGGTTTAACTTGTTTAGTTTTTAACGGAATTCCCAAAACAGTTTGAAGCGGGTTCTAAGATGCCCCAGTGTTCATGAAAATATTGAATCAAATAAATTTGTTACAGTGCGATTGCGAGAACACTTTTTTTCATTAACAATTACTTTTTGATAAATACGACTTTTAATTTAACAATCTTATCTATTATCTAAAATCGTTAGTATAGCCCCATAAAATATTATTTAATTTCAGGGATGGAGCCCTATCAAATTTACGCCTCAATTTGTGTTTCGATAAGAAGGTAATTTTAATAAATTCAACGGTTGCTATAGCAGTAAAGGAGATATCACTAAATATTACAAATGGAAAATGTAAAAAGGAAGTTACCTAGAGTCTAATATGGTAGTTCGCAGTAGAGAACGTGGAGACTGTAAATGAGATAATGTAAAAGCAGGTAAACGACGAATACTAAATCTTTCATGTTCCCAAGAAAGAAGTTCATCGGCTAAATTTATTCTTTTATGGACCATTGAGATATTTAAATCCTTCTGCGATTCAGTAGCAGCCAATTGTAATTCCTTAAAAAAATAATTTAGAATGTTTTATAACAGATAAAGGTTTTATTTCTTCAATGTACAGAATTTAAAAATAAAAAATATTTCTTATAGTATGTTTCATTCAATAAAAATACCATCACTTATATAAATTTAGATGTGTTTATATTACGCAAGTTCTCATATTTATCGCTGAAATTTAAAGCTTTTAAAGGTTTGAGAAATCGACAAAAAATTACAAACGGAAAATAGTGTTTTTTAACACCCAATGACAAAACACTAAACGATAAATTAGTAACTTGTAGTAATTAATTTGGTTATTATATGCAATAGTTGCGCAAAACTCAAATATTTATGAAGATGTGGATATTTTCTATAAAAACAAATTTTTTTGTTGTAAGTTTAATGGCTTAAAACTTTAAAAATATTCAATAAAATTTTTAAAAAAGTTTTAGAGCAATTTAAAACTAATTATAATATTTTTGGTTTAAAATCTGAGAGAAGTTTGCTTCAAACTGCGCAAGATATGAGTATTTAAAGCAGTTCTTTCATATAGCATTTTCGTGCAAAAAATATTTTTTAAACTTCTTAAATTTGTTATGAATTGTATTTGGCAACTAATAAAAAAAATCTGAATTGAATATCTTAAAAAATTTAAAAGTTGCAAGCAATTTTCTAAATGGTTTTCATGCTTTTTAAAAGAATGTTAAAAATGATAAGGGGTTTTCCATATATTTCATTTTGTATTATTAAACAAGATTTATTATAAATGCTGTTGGGATCATCCCCCATAAAAAGTTTCTTTTTTTCGCCTGTTTCTTTCCTTATTCACTTTGGTGTATGAATGTTTATTGTAAGGTATAATCATTTGCTATTAAATTCTGTGCAATGATACAAAATAATATTTGTAGAAAACCCCTTATCAACCCTTTAGCTTTCCTTTTTAGAAAAAGTATGAAAACTACTTAGAAAATTGCTTGAAACCTTTTAAATTTTTAAGATATTCAAATCGGACTTTTTCATTAGTTGACAAATAGGATTCACTAAAAAATTATGACAAAAAAATTTTACAACGTTTCCGCACATGCGCAGTATAAAGGATCTACTTCAATAGTTTTAAAAATTGCACAGTTTTCAACAACTTTTTTTTCAAATCTTAAAGCACAAATTTAGTAATTAATTTTAAATTGCTTTAAAAATTTTAATTTTATTGAGTATCTTTAAAGTTATAGCAAAAAAAAGAAAGACGAGAAAATTAGTTTTTATAAAAATGACCAAAATTCCATAAATATTATTTAAGCTAGGCATGCGAAATTTTGTGCAGTTATTGCATTTATTAATATATTTTTTGACATAGGATGTTCAAAAACACTATTTTTCGTTTGCAATGAATTACTGGTCCTTCAAATCCCTAAAAGTTTTAAACTTCATACATAAGTATGAGAAACTCCATGATCTAAACACATTTAAAAATTTATAAAAGGATTCTTTAAGCATTTCTTAAAAATGTGAAAAACACATGACCAATGAGCCAAAGAATGATGTCAAAATCGATTGTGTAGCTCTCAAGCTAAAATTACAGGAACAAAATTTGAAATTTTCAAATAGCAACATCCACTTTTCAGATCAAAATATAATCCTTGAATTAAAAAAACTTAAAAATGGAGTTGAAACAATATTTTTAGCACAAGAAATTGTTGCACTGGGCTTTTGTCAAGTGTTGCCCTTTTTCATAAACCCGTAAATATTTAATTTTTTTTTTTTTTAATTTTATACTTAAGTTCTTTAGTCAAGTTTCATTCAAGTTTTTTAAATTCTTAAAAGTTATTATAAATGAAATTTTGAACTATGTAATATGTTAAAAAAAAACATTACTTTTATATATATATGCATGCACACAGTTATTTATTTTTCAAAAGTATGTTTTGTTTACTTCAGTTTTAAATGAATTCAAGTGCACGAAAGTACTTAATTATATTATATTACTAAAGATTACCAAAGCAATTATAATACTAAAGTTAAAAAGAAATTAGAACTTAGAAGTGGTTATGTTACAGATGTTTATATAAAAAATTCCACAGTTGTCATTAACACGCCTAAATATTTCTGATCCTTCAGTACAAGTGGTCTTTTACTAAAAAAAGGTTGTGCACCGCAAATCCACATAAGTCTTAGCAATATTTTACAAAACTTTAGCTAATGTTCCTAGGAACCATGGTTGATAAACACTGTTTTAAAATCCAGAACAGTTCACAGTTGAAGGAAAGACAAAAAAAAAAAAAAAAAAAAAAAAAANAAAAAAAAAAAAAAAAAAAAAAAAAAAAAAAAAAAAAAAAAAAAAAAAAAAAACACCATCAAAATAACAAAGTAAAAATACCTTATAAAATACATCTCCCGGACTACCTTCTTTGGGTGGTTTAGATACATGTAAATACAAATTATCCTCATTCCCAATAGTATCTAAACACAATGTATAAAGTGCATCAGGCAGTAGACTAGCATCTGAAAGTATAAATATAAATATCATACTTTATGTGCAACCTTTTTACATAGATGCAATAAATTTATGAACGCATAAAATATAAATTTATAATAACTGAAGAAAATATTTATTACCACATCTATGCAATAATAGTTATTAAATATAAAAATTAAATATATATCATTTAAGAATAAATTAATGTAAAATCATTTATTTCATTATCTTGTTAAACGATAAATTTGATTTTATTGATTAACAATGTGGTGACTAAAATAAATATTATTGAGACATTCTACAGTATTCATAAATCACATATGGCACATTTTAGAGTCAAATTTTTACATACTTTTTATCTTTCCCACAGTAAAAATGCAAATGTGTTAATGATTAACATTGTGGTGACTAAATTAAATGTTATATGTTAATTAAATGTTATGGTATACTCTCGATATCTCAAAGTTGAAAGGAGGCTAAAAAAATTTGGAGATAGCGAGTTTTCGAGATAGCAAGTTCAGAACTAAATATGTTCTAAAAAGTTAAAAACATATTCTGAAATATTACTCTATAAAGTAGAGTCATGAAACATAAGAATAACCTCTATTAAATATGTATGTAATGATAGTTGACTATAAGTCTAAGTACAACAATGATAATTTTATTCCTGAAAGTAAGACAAAAATAATTATGCATTGAATAGAAAATAATTGGTTTACAATGAACTTGCATTGTGATTTGTAAAAAGAAAAAAAAATTAGATAGCAAGGTTTTAAGAAGAAACTCTTCAAATCAACATTAGGTGGATATGTAATGCCAAGGGGGAAAATATTTTTAAGACGTAACGAGATTTTCGAGATATCAAGGGCACACTAGATTAATATTCTTGAGATATTCTACAGTATTCATGTGCTGAATGTGGGACTTTTTCTTAAAATATCTTTTTAAAATAGCAACCAAGACCTCTAACTATTTTACAAGATGTACCTGAATAACTTGTCAGACTGGTAGAGAAACATAATTTAAAATAGTAAAAAAAATAATAATAATAAACTTAAAAAATTGTTTTCTGTAGCATTGTGTTCTGTAACATAATCAGCAACTTTAGTGAGGTGTCTATGTGCCACCCAATTTGTCTCCTTAAAATTTACGAAAGCCATATCCTGGGGACATAGAAACCCTTTTTGCAACACGATTTAGTCACAAAGCTTTTAAAATACCTCAAGTCTATTACTGTTCTTTTTTTTTTTGCCCTCTTTTCTTTGAATTCTTTTGAGGAAAAAAAATTCAAAATAATAGTACTAATTTTATGATTTTATTTACAAATGATTGTTATTTTTATTGCTTGTGTCATTATTATCAGTTATATCAATCATTATTATTAATTATATTTTTATTAAATATATTTATTACTATTAAATATGTTATTATTAATTACATTATTATAATTTATAAATGAGGCAATAAAATCTACAACAGACAATTGAATTTAGATCTTTTTCTATTGTACCATACATCAGGTGGTCCAGTTATGAACAATATTTTGCCCTTTTTTGGACATAACAGAAACAGGCTACCCTAATCAACATGTCAAGACTCCTTTTAGAGTACAATAAGCTAAAAAGCAAAATAGCAGATGTTATTGTTCTTTGCTGTTTTATTATCCGAAATTATTATTCATCTTAACCCCTTCCAATGATATTGTGCGACACAAAATCTCAAAAAAACAAAGTCCTCCCATTTAGATTGCAATCTGTTATATTCTTGGTTATCTAAACTTATAAAATGAACAAAAAGACATAAAGGTGTTTATTTGTAAATATTTTACATTCATATACCTGAATATTAACTTATCTCAATTAACAATCAGACATTTAGTATAATGAAGGTAATATAAAAAATCTAGGCTAGATGAGGTTTGAAAAAGTTTAGTGTGATTGCCGATAAAACACAATTAATTTACACTTTTCATAAGTCAACAAGTGTCAGTTATCACAGAAATTTGTTTGTGGAGCACCTCTCACAATATCAAAAATAAAACACCATCTAGTCATCAGTCACCTCACATGGAACAAAATCAACCCACTTAAGGTAAAATATTAATAATGTGCAATGCACCAGTATCAATTTACAGGGTATCTGCTACATTTTAGATTTTCAAATTCATGACTTTCCATGACTAATTCCAAGAATTTTTCATGACTTAAAGAAGTTACTATCGTCTCCAACAAAAATGCAACAATTTTAAAAAAGCATTATAACAACATTATTCGAAATGATAGGTATAATCAAAACTTATACTCTGCATCTTCATATTTATAGATTTTAAATTTAAAAAACAGAGTAAAGAAAGAGTTGAAACAATAAAATAGTAGAAAAAATACAAAAGCAAATAATTTTTTTTCCTGCAGAATTATATTCTAAAGATACTTTTCTTGTTCATCAGAAAAGAAAGAAATACTCCTGATTTTTCTGTTCTCATTTCGGAATAAAAAAAATTCATCACTGACTGGTTTGCTTCAACTAGAATTTTAAATTGATAAAATTAAAAAAAATTAATAATAAAAATTCTTAAATCACAGAAGAGAGTTTAAAAAGATTCGCTCTAGAAATGATGTTTTTTCTTTCATTTTTTGAAAGAACACCATAATTTTTTAAGAACATGATAAAATCATTTTATATTCTAATAAAATATGACTGAGTGGTGATTTTGTTAGGAATTCAGATATTTAGAACAGGATGAAATTGGGGGGGGGATTCCATTTTTAAAATTACATTTTTCGGAGACCTAAATCCATGACTTTCCATGATTTTTTCAAACACATAGTAAAAATCATGACATTTCATGACAAATTTAGTTCAATACTGAAATTCATGACTTTCCATGATTTTTCAACACTTCCCAGGTGTGCGGATACCCTGAATTTAACAAAGTTAAAGTCAACGAAAACAAAAATATCACTGTAAAAATAACATCCGTTATAATTGCTGAAAAAAAAAAATCTAGGCTTTAAAACACTAATTCGACAAAGTACCCAAATTTCAAAAGTTTAGCGAAGGAGTTTAGATGCCATTTCGCATATTATTAAAGCACAAATAATGGCAAAATATAAATGAAAAATATTTAAAAAAACATCTAGGCATTTAGATATTTAGACCTAAAACTTCATAACTATAGTATTGGTTTTTCGTTGATTACAGAATTATGTGCAAGGGAATATTATTGCTCGACAAAATGAACGTGGCCTCTCAAATATAATTAGTATCCAAATATTTAATGAATGAGCAAAATTACGAGCTATTTCATTTTTAAAAAAACTAATATAAAATTATTTAAACATTTAAAAAATACCTGAACTATCAATGTTATCTTCAATCCACTTTTTGGTGCCTTGATAATTGAATTTCCCACCTCCCGAGAGAAGAAATAGTAAATTGAATCTACAAAAGTAATAATACAAATTTATGATATAACTGAGTTTATTTTGAATATCTTATTATACTTGTTATATAATGTGTAACATAGAAATATCAAGAGCAAAATATTGGTTTACTTTAATTATAGGAAAATCTAAAAAATTACCTAGGATGAGTTCGAGAATTGGTATATAAACGGGATAACATTCTAGCCAATTCAAGTAAGGCAGCTACTCCACTGGCATTTGAATCAGTACCAAATGATAAAGCCTTAGTATTAAAAATAAACGAATAAGTACTTAAATAATAATAAAATATAGAATAAATCACAAATCAAATTAGAGGAAAAAATTTTACAGGAATTATACACGCAGATAAAAAGAAAACAGGGCATTTGAAATCAACATGCAAGAGAGTGAAGAAAATAGACTAACTTACAAATAACTTGCATATAATCCATGCAAAATACAAAAATTAGTAAACTAAACATCTTAACAGAAAAATACTAACTTAAAAATATAGAAGATCTATATAATACAATTCTATAAACTGTAATTCTCCATTAACCACATTAGTTTTGAGTGCGTAAACGATAAAAATCGCAGTTTTGTAACTAAGCCAGAACTATTAAATTTTTATATCATTTGTTTAGTTATTTACTAAGATGTTTAAATCTAAGTAATTTAAAGGTTTATTAAAAATCTGAGCTAACCGAAATTGATAATTAGTTCTATTCCTTTAGGAAATTTTAATTTTTTTCTAGAAATAAGAAATTGCATGTTTTTATGTTAGTAAGTATTTGTACCTAAAAATTATTTAAAAGCATTTTTAGAATGATTTTTTCCAAGCTAATATTGACATGTTTAGCAGTTAAATTAAAGAATATGTGAAATGATCTACATAACACTAAATTCCATAAAATGCACAATCTCTTGTTTGAAGGCTTGATTAGAGATTCTACTTATTTTCCTTTCGGAAAAATAGTAATGGCCAAAGATCAATAATATTTATTTTATCTCTGCAAATCAAATCTGCTATTTGTTTTTGTTACTATAAATTTTATATTAAAACTATAACTTTTTAGTATCTTTAAATGATAAACATCAACAATTAAAAAAAAGAAAATGCCTTTCTGTGCACAAGAAAAACTGGCAGAGTATTAATGAGAGAGCAGTATTAATGTCTAAACATATTCAAATGGTCGAAACTTACACCTTGAATATGAGAATTTGAAAACTTATATCTAGTGGATATACAACGAAACTTATTTATGTACCAATTAAAAAGGAGTAAAAAAAAATTATTTTAGAGTATTTAAAGAAAATAAAACAAGCTTAAAATAATAAAAACAGTATATAAGAGTCAAACATGATATTGAAAACTTATGTGATAATCACAAAATGCATGCATAATGAATAAATTATATTTCATGATATCAATTTTAAAAAAATTCTAAACTACTACTAAACAATCTGTATATAGCTAATTTTTTGCTACTGTAGTTCAATACCTTAAATTAAAATTTTATTGCTATTACATAGTTTAAAGAACTTTTTTTATTTCAAAATAAAAACAAAAAAAAAATTGAAATGGTTTGTTTGAAATTTTTAAAAGAAAGCAAAAATAAAGCAAACTTTCATTATTAAATTCAAATTCATAATAAACAACAATTTTTTAATCACAAAAAATTTTAATCAAAAATTCCCTCAAACATATAAATATAAAAACAACTTACGGGTGCAACACCATAAGCGTCATAATGAGCAACTATGGCAACAGTAGGCAATTGTTCTTCGACTCCAAAACCACATAATTTTCCCTTGAAAAAATTACAATGATGACAAAAACATTAGTGATTAACAGCAATTATCAAGCCTTCATTACATTAGTACTATTTTATTATTACAGTACAGAACCATTTATCTGGTATCCAGAAAACTGGGGGAAATTTTGCTCGGTTTCCCTGCCATTTTGAACTAGTATGAGTAAAGGAAAAAGCAGAAATTTGACTCATTCTTGAAGTTGAGAAGAGACAATTGTGTGTGGGGGGTATTTTCTCCCCTTTTTCCAGAGAAAACTTCAATATTTCTTCTGTGATCTTGAAGATCTTTAGGTCGAGAGAGGCAGAGAAGGAACAAATGTTTTATTTTCTCTTGTGGGTTCGAAAGAATCGGTGGAACCGATCCAGGAAATTCAGACATGCAGGATAGCAATGGTCCCAAGAGTCCCTGATAATTGGTTCTTTACTGTACTATTTATATTACTATTTTTAGAAAAATATCAAAAAAATCTAAACATTTATCATTTATTTAAACATTTATTATCTAGTCTTATACTCATACATTCCATTTTTATACATAACATCAGTGTTAAAAAAGCTGAAAAGTGTTACTAGTCCCAAAGAGAACACAAAGGTCTATAATAGACAATGTTGTGAGTCTGCTCAAACTTAATACTTATTTTATTTTAATATATTTTTAAAGATTGAAGCAAACAAGTATAAACTACAAACAATTAAAGAAAAATAATGCAGCTCATAAAAGATCTACACATATTAATGCAAAATAAGTAAAATAAGTTCTGTCAACTAATTCTTTTTATTTAATTTGACTAATACTTTTATTTCTTTTCTTTTTTTTATTTTACAAAATTAACTTCATATTTTAGTTATATTCTCCTCTTTCTCTTCTCATCTTTTGTCAGATTATTATTAGGTTATTATTAATAACTATGAAACTTTTCATTAGTTTTACAATAAAACACATTCTAATCATGAAGCAGTTTAGTAGTTTTAGTATAAAACACATAGTTTCTTTTTCATAAGATCTGTTTTAGATTATTAGGTTTTTAAAAAAATTTAAAAAACATAACATTGTTATATAAAAAACATAATATAATTAGCTTTCATTTTTAAATGTTGGAACATTTCTACCTTTTTTATTTAAATTAATTATAGATATCCATTGTTTTTTAAAAAGATTTAAACCGCACTTTCTCTCAGTTTGTTGTAAAAGGTTAAAAAGCCTAGAAATTATAGAGAATATGTAGCAGTCAAATTCTGTGGAAGAACAATAACCCTTTTGTTTGCCTGCTTTAATACCGTTAACAAAAGTTACAGTAGAGCACAGCATACAATTGTATAGATTTTTTTTTCAGTATCATTTTCATTTTGTCTCAATACATTGATTCTAACAGTTACTGACCACTAATAATTATTCTTTAGGAGAATAAACATGTTTTAGAGTTTGTTGACCAGTGGTTGGTATATGACTTTAAATGCTAATAATGTACCTAACTAGTCATACGAATTTATTTAATTTATATGCAAGTTAGAACATAGATAACATAGGACATTCATTAGAGATACTGTTTCAGCAAAAAAAGTATTTAGCCAATAAATCATACTTTTATCTATAAACAATTCTTTAAAATCTTTTGTTAACATATATTACCTAGAACCCGATTTCTGGCGACCGGTCTGTTTTGACTACGACATCTAAATTCTGGTAGTCTATACCTACATTAATTTTTACGAATATATGAATCATATGTTCATAGGTTTATACCTGAATGCTAATAACTTGTGTATCAAGCTGCTCTTTAGGGGGAGGACCAGACACAACCATCTGATAACCACTTGACAATATAGAACTTGGAATTTCTAAAACAAAATGCACTACATTATTTCTTAAACTAAAATCATGACATATAAATTTTAATAACCTATTTAACACATAAAATGTACATAAATATGGCAAGAAAATTGAACAGAGTTATGTTTCTACTTACAAGAAAGTACATATATAAATATCATTAGTTTGCATCAACTTTATCAAAATCATTACTTACATCTCACCATATTAAAAAATCGTAAAAGTCGCACATGGTATTTTGGATTTACATTTTAACGTTGCATATTGTTTTACTGCGCAATAACTATCAAACTTAAAATCACTAAGGTGTATAGAAAAGTGTACAGAAATTAGGATTAAATAAAAAAGAACATTCGGTAATTAGTACGAGAATTACTAACTGTTAAACTCGTTGGGAAAATAACATACCGTTTCCTCTACGAGCTTCAGAAATGCAACTATAGAGATAAAATTTAGCATGCTGAAAGGGTCGTACTTGTTTATGTACTTAACAGTTTCTTTGGAAATTATAATTTGTTTGAAAGTTATTGCAATTTTAAGTGCTTTTCTTGCACATATTTTCTCAATTAATTTTGCTTCACATTACATTTTGCTTTGCTGCTCAAAATATACTTAGAAACTTGATAACTTAATATGACTTAGAAACTTGAAATTGCAAAGACATGTAAAAAATGTACAAAGAATTCAATAGAATACAAAAAAAAAATATGATTTGATTATTAGTTCCAAGAAGGACAAATTTGTGGTAAAAAAAAAAAAATCCTGTTGGTCGATCTACTGTCAGCTAAACAGCAACAACAGAGTCAAAATTCGACGAGCTGATGAGACCATTTTGAATTAAAACTCTTAAACGTTTTTTGTTTTCGGAAACTAATATTTGTTCGAAAGTTAATTGAATTTTAAGTGTTTATTGCATTGTTTTTACTTCAAATAATTATTTATTCATTATTGTAAAAAATTTATCCCTATAGCAATTTTCATTTCATAAGCTCCCACATGATTTCACGGCAAAAGTAACAAAAGAAAAAGGAATAATTAAAACATACAAAAGAGGTTAGATGTTGCCAGATATGAATCTTAACATTTATATAGAAATTTTTAAAAATATAGAGACTGAAGAGAGATAAAAAAAACTGTTTCCAATCCAAACTGTTATATAAGGTCATTGTTATTATTATGGTGGTGAAGCCTCCTAGTAATTACAAAAAGTATATGGAAATATTTTTAACAGCAGCACCAAATTACAGCACCAAAAATATTTAAGATTACCCAATTGACATCACTTTTTAAATCATTTTGCCAAGAGTCTAATGTCATTTAATACATGCTATCTATAGGAAAAATATTCCACAATGGTCAACTTATATATCAGACATATCAGAAATTCGCTATCTCTTAATCAAAAATAGGTGGGATGTATGTTATGTATTTTTATTAAGTATTACATTAACCATCTCATGTTTTAAAAACATCTATTATTTGTCATGTTTTAAAAACATCTATTATTATTGTACGTAACATCTGTTATAAAAACATCATTACATTTAAACATTTTACATTCAGTTTAAAGCAGGAACTGCACGTTTCTTCCACAGTAAGGAAAAAAAAACATGCAAAAAAATGCTCCAAAAGATCTTTTTTTATTTAGCAAGAAATATTAAACTAAAATCACATTAAGAGACTTTTTGAATTAAAGAAACAATTCAAATTGAATTTTTTTGACAGAGCACTACACTAAGTATCATCAAAATGAAGAACTAACACTTGTGAATAGGATCTGATATTATAATCATTTGAATTACAGCCTTACTTCAAAAATTTGTCAATAGAAAGAAGTAAAATTATTTAAAAGAAAGAAAAAAATTAATTAAGGTGTGCAATTGTTTTAAAGAGATTATCATCAATAACAAATTTATTATTGTATATTTTGCTTGTTTTTTTCTATACATAACTTTTTTTCGATACAAAATATATTAGAAGAAATAATAAAAAATATTGTAACAAAGTAAAAAATAAAAATACCTTCTGCTGCTGATCGAGATGTTTTTTGTTGAGTAGGAGATGTTTGTTCCATACTATAATAAATATCTAATATCTCCTCTGTTTCATAAGTAAAATAAACTGGTACTGTTACATCTTCTTCAAGCAAATTTTTTTCTAAAGTCATTAAAGACTAAAAGAAAAGAAAAGATGCAAAGGTTAATCAAAAAAAAACTTCACTATTATTTTTTAATAATTTTAAAATAGTGAATATGAAAAATAAAACTAAGATAAGTTGAAACAAGGTTCCCACTCAATTTAAGAAAATAAAATTGTCTGACTTTTCCAGGTATACCAAGGAAATTTCAAAGAAAAATGAAACCATATTTACATCAGAAAACTTTGATTCTTTTATTTGCAATGTAAAATATTAGTTTTTCTGTGCAAAAAATATTAAATGAGGAAGGGATTTCCAAGGTTTTCCCTGCCACATGTGGGAACCCTGTTGAAACATACAAATTTCAAGTTTTAATAACATCTTAACAATTCAAAAATTAAGAAATATAAATTTTAACATCTTTAATTTTAACAAGAAAAATAAATTTTAACATCTAAATCAGTGATTCTGAAACTTTTTTTTTTGTGGCGGCACACTTTTAACGATTTCAAAATTTGACGGCACAAAATGAAAAAAATTAGTTGTTTTTGCAAATTATTAATTCCTAGCTTTTTTTTTTTTTGTTAGTTATCCTTTGTTGATTTGTTTTTATAACTAGTTATTGCATAGCTTACTTTAATGATTAGCTTTTATTTCCGTTTGAAAGTAAATATTTAGCTTGCGCTCCTTTGTTAATTAATAATTTTAATAGTCAATAAATTTCCTACCTATAATTTCAAAATTTTTTTAAATTGTCAAAGACAATTTAAACACTTTCTTCTTATTCTAACTTATTTCAAGATTGTCTGAGACAAGACAATCACCGACAAAGATGTTCATGCGGTTAAAGCGTGGAAAAATAATAAATATATATATATATACTTTTTTTTAATTTAAACTTTACACGTAATAAAAAAGCATTATAATTTTTATTGTACTATTTCCAATATTTGGCGGCACACAAAAATGCCGCGGCACAGTGGTTGAGAATCACTGATCTAAATAATAACAAAATAAGTTTTGCAAATAATGGAAAAACAGCCTGAGAAGCTGTTTTTATAAAACAGTTATAAAGATATTTTAGTTCAAAAGATTCTACACCTCAAAATACACTTTGCACTTATTAAAAAATTATCATTATATAAACGATTTTTACTTTTAAAAATAAATATTTTGAATAATTATTTCAGAGAAAAATATATTTTCCAGAAACGTCAATTCGTGTGCAACACATGTAAAATGCAAAGATAGTAGTAAATACCTGCTGTTCATCAGGTGAAAGAGAATTAAACGTTTTAGGAATTATAATAAGTAAGCCACCAGCATTCTGATGAAGAATTTCTTGATAATGAGCATATGTTAAATCAGACAATCTTGCCATAACACAACGTCGAGTGTAGGGAGTTGTGTAAAGAGTTCTGGCTTCCATGTTTAGAATGGAATTTCTACAACCTAGAAAAACATAAGGTTAACCAAAATTACTAAATAAATAAATCAGATAAATAGAATAGAGACTGGCACAGCATTTTAACATAATGCAATGTCAGATATCTCCCTAGAAATAAGAAAGGGCAGGGTGCTTCCTCATTGAAAAGGGCATTCCCTGTCTTTAAATGTATTAAAATGCATGATATTATGTAATAACGGATTTTGATCCCAATTTTTTAAATTATCCTTTTATACTATTTTATGTGCATACTTCACAGAGTAATTCTCCCTCATTATCAAAATAACAGAAAAATTTGAAGCGTTTGAAAAATAATTAAAGGCAAGCTAATAGATGTCTGTGTATAAATTTTCCTTTAAATAAAAAGTAAACTTAAAAAAAAAGGATTAATTAATAAAAAACTTTATTATTTTTTTAAACTGATAATTATAAGAAAATAAACATTTAAAGGTGTATTTTTAAATAAAAGGTATTTATTTAAAAAGAAATGGCAAAATTTAAATTACTGAAAAAAACTTTAATATACCCCTCTTATTATTAGCTTATTAGTTATTCATTATGCATAAATAACATTATTTAGTAGCAGTAGTTTTATCGTAAGTTGCCAATTCTGTGACGCATGTCACTATCTAGCTATCACCTAAACTGGAACATTTTGGTGTAGATACCAAGACAGAATACATTCCCAAGGTAATATAAAAAGGTCTCTATAAAGAAGGTACCAATTTGCATCAACTTCAATCCCCATGTACCAAAGGGTTTTTGAGCTTGGAAAATTTTTTAAAAAGTATGTCGTTGTTTGTCAACAAAAGGCAGCTGTATATTAAACACCTTGAGTTGGTCCCCCTTCGAAAGTATTTTTCCCCCTCCCTTTTTTTCTCGCACAGCACTGTACGCAACTCATCAAGACTTGGCAATGGAACCCAGAAATGGATATAGACATTTTTCCCTTTCCCAGTGTCTTTCAATTATTGATTTGCAAAGATTATATAACCGGAAAAAAATTTACAATACCTACAATAGTTTTTGATCTACTATAAAAAACATCTTACAAATTGTAATTGGAAACTCCTAACAAAGATTTAGTTTGGTTATGAGTTAAAAAGGAACATAGAGTCAGAAAAGTGTTACAATGTTCCTCCTTTATTAAATAAATGGCAAAATTTGTGTAGGATTTTAATTTGAAGCTACAAGGACTGGTTCATATTTATACAATATACTCCTATTTCTTAACCCTAGAGTTCATAACACTTACAGTCCAATATTACTTCAGGAAATATTTCTGTATCGTAATCTGTCATGCCAACTATAATCGCCAAGACCACAAATAGGATCTTAAACTTGCAATTTAAAAAAAAACATGTTATGGTTTGCCCAAGATTGGCTACGAGCTATACCCTTTGGGATAAGTCCCTTTTGAGATGTTTATTTTTAAGTTTAAAGGTCATGGGCCACTATCTAGAAATGACCAATCCGGTCTAATTATTTCACTGTAGATCCCAATAAGGAAATCTACCGATCTTATCTACCTATTACCTCCAGCCAATGCATGTTGCTAAGCATTCTCTAGATATAGCATTCGCTTTCCAAAGTGGTGAACCAGGTTCGAATCCCAGAGGCGGCGGTTCATACAAAATATGCTTCTTACTCACATCATAGTGCTAACATGAAATATCACTAAAGGTAGATGAGTCCTCCTTTAGAATCCTTTTGTCATCAGACAAACCACTGGCGGTATGATTTTTGTGGTATTTTTTTCAACGTAACCCACGTTCAGATGAATACCATCAAAAAGTCTTCCACGAATGCTAGTTAGTTCCAATGCTTAATCTATAAGTTATCATGTCTTTTGGGTTGGGTTCAAAATTAAAAGGCTACAGGGTAGGACATTGAAAATTGTATATTCAAAATTTGGTCAGATGATCAACACCGGTTATAAAATAAAATGATATAGCACGAAAAAAAAAATTTTCATTCATTACCAATTACAAACCAGACGCAAACAATTTGAAACAATAATTAAAACATTTTGATAGTAAAAAACTTATAAGAATAAAATATTTCTATCATATAGCATCTAGTTCATTAATTTTTAATCAACTAAAACAAATTTTCAGATGAAACAAACCATGAGGAATTCCGTGTAAATCGAAGTGTTGCATTCTATAGACAGTGAATTCATGAGCTGCTAATACAGGAGTTTTAGGTGAAATAATAATTAAAAGAGGAACGACGGCAAACGTGTAGAGTAAAAAATTACCCCGAAAAATTTCAAAAAAACTATCTGCTCCGTCAAAACACATGGTCATAAGATTTAAAGCAAATTAAATACTTATTATTTAAAACATTAAATTTTGAATTGAAGATTATTTTTTATAAATATTTTCGATCCCGGAACAAATTGATCAGCAGAGTTTAGACGTTTTCTTGGACAAGGGCAGGAAAATCATGCTCTTGTTAACCACAAGAAAACAGGCAACCCATTCAGGAAAGAAGGGACTACTTTTACTGCAAAAAATTCACTGATGCGAAGAAGTACCTGATTAGCGAGTTTTCGCGGTTAAATATATTTCGCCAATTATCTTCTCATATGCATGCACGAATATTTCTCTTACAGTACAAACGGGCCCTAAGACATTCTGCATGTTACGAAACGTTCACATCCATAGACGGGTCTGGTTCATTTCATCGACAATAACTTCATAGACAGGCCATCTCATCGACAGACCATTTCATCGAGTAGGTCATTCCGTTGATAGGCCATTTCATCAACAGGGTCATTTCGTCGACTAGTCATTTCATCGACAGGGCCATTTCATCGACAGGGTCATTTCGTCGACAATGTCATTTCATCGACAGGGTCATTCCAACGACAGGAGTATTTCGTCGACAGGTTCATATCTTTGCCAAGATTATTACATCGACAGGGTCAATTCATCGACAGGGTCATTTCGTCGACAAAGGTCCCGCAGTGGATCGTCAAGGCACGGTTCCCAGCAGATCACCAAAATCAAGCATCACTAGCTGCGGTCAGTGTGCGGGTGGGTGACCACTTGGATCAGCCTGCGTAGGGACCGAGGGTGTGCGGTATTGGTCCTCGTTAAACTGCTCTACCGTGAAGTGCTCGAAGACATTCCATCACAATTTTGATCCTCTGTGAAGAGGATGGCACCCCCGCTTTGGTAGCCCAACGACCTGCAAGCGAAGTCGAGCACTTTACGGTAGAACAGTTTAACGAGGACCAATACCGCACACCCTCGGTCCCTACGCAGACTGATCCAAGTGGTCACCCACCCGCACACTGACCGCAGCCAGTGATGCTTGACTTCGGTGATCGGCTGGGAACCGTGTCTTAACGATCAGTCCACTGCGGGACCCTATACAACTGAAAAAAGGAGGAGAGAGATGGGGGAAGGCATGGAACCAGTTTTCTCCCCAAATGACATATTCGAGAGTTGAGATCGCTTATAGAGAAATGTTCTTAGTTTTACGCAATGAATATTTCATGATATTAACAAATTTAAAAATTTTTCTTTCTTATTTTAATCTAACCTACTACTTACCTTCTACCAACCTAAGAACAAACTTTTTTCTAGGAGATATTTCCGTATCGTGATCTGTCGGGCCATATATCGCATTAGGTGATAGACGATCGTCTGCATTGATACGACAAATGCAAGATTTGGCTGGTGATCGTGTTGGCGACGCATATTTCTAAAATCATTATGGCTTCAAAGACTTCCCACACAAATGCAAGCTATTTTAAGTTCTTCATCAGATCCTCTTAATAAATTAGCTATAATGGCGGATAAGATTGCTGTTCAAAATGAAATATTCTCTGCTAGTTCAGAAACGAAACAAAAAGTGCCAAACGATGGCAATTATTCGAATATTATTGAATCGCTGCAAGCTCAAGTGTGTGAATCAAATAAAAAAAAAACTTGATAAAGTGTTACGTTTCCGAGTTCGAAGCCCTGATAAAAATATGAATAAACACCGTAATCGCTCCACAAGTAAAAATAGACTTTGCTGTTATCATTATCGTTTTCGTGTAAGAGCAAATAAATGTATCCAACCATGCAGTTTTAAGCAGCAAAACTAGACGGCCAAGCGTTACTGGCGGCGAATGCCAACGGATATGCAAATTGTCACCTTATAGTTATTGATAGGACATTAAGTTGTAAATTATTAGTAGACACTGGCACTGATACTTCCATTTTGCCACCTTCTCAGAATGAACGCAATATGACTCCGTCCATCTTGAAACTCGTTGCTGCTATTGGTTCTCGAATTCCGGTTTATGGAACACGAAAATTGGATCTTGATATTGGACTGCGTCGCATCTTTCCCTGGATGTATACTATTGCTGATGTATCACGACCCATTCTTGGAACTGATTTTTTATCACATTATGACATTTTAGTGGATCTAAAATCCAAGTCGTACCTAACTAATGTAACATTTCGCGGAAAAATTTCTTATGAATCAACGCCTAAAATAACTGTGTTGAAAATGTCTGCGGAATTTCATTCTTTAATTAGTGAGTACCAAAGACATTTTCGAGGAGAGAAAACCAGAATAAAAGATTTACCTCATAATGTCAGTCATGTTATCGAAGCAAAGGGTCAACCAGTGATTGCAAAAGCGCGAAGACTATCTGTTGATAAATTGGAAGCGGCAAGAGCAGAATTTAATTACCTAGTACACCAAGAAATATGTAGCCCATCCAAAGTTGCTGCTCAAGCCCATTGCACATGGTTAAAACGCCAGATGGTTCTTGGCGACCACGTGGAGACTACCGTGCATTAAATGCCAATACACTTCCTGACAAGTATCCCATTCATCATTTACGCGATTTTTCTACTAATTTACATGGAAAAACTGTCTTCACAACGCTTGATCTCCTCCGAGCTTATCATCAAGTGCCCATGCGCAAGGAAGACATTACAAAAACTGCCATCATCACTCTATTTGGAGTTTTTGAATTTAAATTCATGACTTTTGGGTTGAGAAATGCTGCACAAACGATGCAGCGCTTTGTTGACCAGGTTCTGCAAGGGTTAAACGTCTGTTTTGTCTACATTGACGATATTTTGATTACCTCGTATACAATCCAAGAACATCTCCTTCATGTTAAGGAAGTTTTCAAACGTTTGAGACAATATGGCCTCATCGTTAACCTTTCAAAATGCACATTTGCTGCAGAAAAAGTCAAATTCTTAGATCATCTGGTTGATGAACATGGTATTATGCCATTACCAGACAAAGTTGAAGCGATTTCCACTTATCCTAAGCCAACAACAGTAAGCAAACTCAGACGATTTTTAGGAATTCTAAATTTCTATCGTAAAAATTCTTGCCGCATGCTGCTCAAAAGCAATTACCATTACATCAAATGCTTGGACGTTGCAAGAATAATGACAAAACCTTGTCTCTCTTGGACAACTGAAGCTGAAAACTCATTCCAATCTTGCAGAGCAGAATTAAAAGAAATCTCTTACTTGGCTCATCCAAATTCATCTGCAGTGCTGGCTTTGATGACAGATGCTTCAGATACTGCTGTTGGTGCATGTGTTAATCAGAAAAGTCATCAAGATGCGGAGTTGCAGCCTCTAGGTTTCTTTTCTCGTAAATTAAGTGCTGCAGAGAAAAAGTATAGTGCCTATGACCGTGAACTCCTTGCAATTTTTACATCCATAAAATACTTTCGTTACATGTTGGAAGGAACTCATTTTATAGTGTTCACTGATTATAAACCTTTAATTCATGTATTAACTCAAAAATATGACAATCTTATTGTTGTTTCTAATGCCACTTGCCACACGAGCAAGCCTGCTTGGTGAAACCGAGCAAATTTAACCCACCGACGGTTCTGCACGTAAAAAGTCGCATTTTAACCTGCAGTCTTCTCTGCATAGCAAAACCGGTTTTCCCATGTTAACTGATAGGGGAACTGTGTGTAGGGGAGAAACATTCTCCCAATTTTGCCCATTTCCTTAACCGCCAGTGGGTTAAGGCAGAGTGTGCGTTTCTTATTTTTTCAGTGACGCCATCCTATGGCCAAGAATTCGTCATCAGCCGCACACACGTCACAGCCCGTTTTATAGGGTGGATCCATTCATACATCCACAGATCCTAATTTTGACCTGAATCAGAGAACAATCAATCTCCAATCCAGTACCCCCAGAGGTTTTGATTTATTATGGGAACATGGAGGACTTTAAGACTCGATAGATTTAACGTGCATCAGTCACCATTTACTACACCGGGCTTTTTTGGCTGGCGGGGTTCGAACTCACGAATTCTCGGACATGAGTCCAGCCCCTACCGACCAGGCTATCCCGGCCCATATTCAGCCTATGCGTACTAGAAACTCGCCCTTTTATGCTTGGTATGGCCTTATATGCAACCAACGATGTGAAATGGAATCGCTAATCAGTTGTCAGAAGAACAAGGTTATCCGCCACACCCATCTTAACAGTTTGACAATGTACATATTGACCATTCTGGATCATTCCCACCATCTGATGGATGCGTGTACCTCTTAACTTACATCAATAGATTCACACGATGGCCTGTAACTATTACCATTCCGACATGCATGTCGTCATGGTTGCCATCAGTTTCCTCGCCCGAATTCGGTAAGATCAAATACTTCTATACATGCAACAGAATTTGTCACCTCAGTGTTATTTGATGATATTTCAGTAGACATTACCTGTCTACTGTGGAGTCGTGACAGCTTACCATTTTTCTGGATACGGAACCCAAATGGTCGACTTTCTTTTTGCGGAACTCCGATTTAACAAATAAAGTTCAGTAGCAATTTCAATCAAAGAAACACTGCTAATCATTTTGCAAATATTAATTTTTTCATCTTTTATTAATATTATTTTAAAATTAGGTTTTTATTTTTGACAGTTTAGTAGACTATAGTCGGCGTATATAGCGCGGCATCTGGTCTGATTTTGTTTTAGCCTGAAATACGGTTTTTGTATAGATGGTGTTTTCAGTAGAAATGTAAACAATAACAATCTCGAGCTGTATGCCTCCTCTAGTTCCGGTTAGAAAGTTTGCAGCTGCTTACTACATGTTATTCTGCGAGGCGATATTTTCAAACGGATAATTCTGTTTTCAATAAAAGAAATAAATTAGATAATTTCTGAGCTCAAATCTGCCGTATTTCGTAAGATATTAATGTTATTATGTAATTCTGGTGAGCTTGAAGTAAAAATTTGTTTTAGTTACTTAGATATATTGTTAAAAAAGGTGACATGGTTGCTAGATTTTGAATAACTCACTTTTTTGGCAGTCTTGATATGGCCTCTTTCCATAAGTTTATTACTGTTTGTTCCTGTTGCAAGCTGTGCACCATCTTACGTTAGTGTTAACATTTTTAGCATTGCAAAACACAAGTATTGTTAACATTGTAAACACAAGTAATAAGTAATCAAATACATTGTTTGCAAGAATCTCAAAACACAATGATGCCAAATAATGGCTTTAAAATACAACGGAAACAGTAACCCGGAAATTTAGGCGGTACCGAGTTCGCAGCGTTCCCTAGTGTAGAAAACACCATCCATATGCTATGTTAAAATAAGCTGAATTATGGTTTTTGTTGAAATGTAAATTAATCATGAGCATTTATTGAGCTGTTATAAACGTTGAGATTGGTTATGAATGTCAGATTTAATTTATTAAATTTAATTTACAAAAGATGTCAGTTAAGTATTCTGATTTTGTTTTGCTAACATTTGTAAATATGCAAGAAAGCATATGAAATATCATTTCCAAGAAAGAGAAAGTTAATATTTTTGAATTGCTATTTTAAAAGTTTTTCGTGTATTTAAAATAAATAACCAAAAAGCATGATATTTATTTATTTTTATAAAAAATAAAATAAGTATTTTAGTTATTTTTTTTTTATAAAAAAAAGGGTGGATGTGTAGAAGGGTTTTGAAAGTTAACATCGAATTTACGAAATTTTTCGCGAACTTCCTGATAGTACAGTAAAATGTTCAAAATACCTGTTTGTGTTAAATTAGAACTGAAATTACATTAAATAAAGTGCATTGGTTGAGTTGTAAGTTTTCATAGGAAGACTTATACTATACACAGGGTCGTAATAATATATTTTCAGAATTTTTTTTAAAAGTAAAGTACAAAAATATATGCACACACTATTATTATATCACAATTATTATATCGAAAAAAAAAATCGTTCTCGAAATCAGATGAATTATTTATAAAGAAGGGGAGATTCAAAACTTAAAAACCGGTTTGATTGCCCGAAGAAGTTATAAGAAAGGCGTGATCCAAAGATGCATATTTTTTAGCTCCATTTTTGACAAAGATATAAAAAAATATGCATTAAGGGCGATGATTACTGAAAAATCTGCATTTATTAGGTTGTGTATTGATTATGATTTGACGCAAAATATCATTTATAAAATTATTGAATTGAATAAAGTATCAATTTTAATAAAATGATAATAAAAACAATTAAAATAACGCTATTATATATATTTCACCTACGGTGTTACTTATACATATTACATTGACTTTATCACACATTATATTTTTCCATTAGCAGTGATTTTAATAAAAAAAATTGTTTTTAAAAAATGACTTTTCAAAATAAAATTTTTGAAACGAAAAGATTATTCAACTTTAATTATAAGATTGCCATTCGCTTATTATTGCGAAAATATTAATTCAAAAATGCTAATTTATACGCAAACAGGGTTCCTCCGCCCCTGTTTGCTATCTTTCGCAGTTTCTCTAAAATAATAGTCTATTCCATAATATACCATAGACTAATATAAATAATAGTCTATGGTATTCTTGCTTAAGCAATGTCGGCGCTAGACATTTTCGTGATCCGGGCGATACTGAAAACGGCACCCTTAAAACTCAATTTTGGAAGAAGAAAAAAATTAGAATTTAGAAAAGAAAAAAAAAAAGAATAATTTGTTGGTGTAGTCATACTTTTAAAATTTAACCATATAGAAATTTAATCTAAGAATATATAATTAAAAAAATAAAAACCTATAAATATTAAATATATTTTTCAAACAAACTATAATAGCAAAAAATTTTTTTGAAAACATTAAATCTGACTTTCGTTTGGCGCTCTGGGCTGTCTCCCGTCTGCCCATTTCGTCGACCCTGCGCTTTACAATATGCTCGTAGTCAATCCAAAACTGTTTGTAGTAAATCCAAAACTGTTTGACATTTCGAAAGTACTCGGATTGTTAACTTAAACTAAATTATTAAAATAAGCAATATAAAGAGTTAAAATAAATATTGCTATTTATTCTGTTTTATATAAAAAATATTCTGTACTTAATACGTAAAAAGAACATAATTCTTTTCACTTGATAAACGTTTTTAGTATTTTTTTTTAAAGTTTATCATATGATTTATTTTATTTAAAAGTAACTATTTAAAAACCTTAAATTAAATACAAATGCAATCATGCATTCTTTAATAATTTTTATTCTGCTGAATTACTATGAAAACAAATCGGGATTTCGTATAAAAAATAACGATAAAATATCAAGGACTGCGTGAAAAGAGGTGAGCGACACATTCAAATATTCTATCTGCATTTTAGAAAAAACCTTTGTAATTTGACCTTCAAGCGAACGCGTTATCTATGTTGTAATCGACTCTAGTCACGATGTTACGAAATGCGCCGTTGCAAATATCCGGTTGCCAACAGTTGTTGCAATCTCGTGATAAAAGCATGTGATGTGTCACTCAGCTTTGCAAAAGGTTGCAACTTTTGGAAGAAATCGGAGAAGAGAACAATAGAAGCGTTTGCGCAATCCCATTTTGCAAATAATCAGAGTTTGCAATCTTTTTAAGCGAGGTCACTGAAGAACTACATAAAAGCGTCATTTGAGAGGAGGATTTTTACTTCTACTAGAGTATTTGAGAGTTGAGTGACGTTAGTTTTTTTGCGTTCGACTTATCGCGTTTCAATCGTTTTTGTAGAATTTTATCTCCGAAATGAAGTGTTCTCCATTTTCAAGAGGCCTTAGAAAGGGAAGTAAACATATGCATCGCAGATTTATGAAACATTTAAAGCGTCGCTGTATGGATGGCTATGAAAGTTCTAGTTCAAGCGAAGATAGTCACAGGCATCAAACTGAATCAGACAATGATACGCAACAAAGGATAAAACACGATCATGGTATGAAGCATGGAATGAGACACGGCCATGGTATGATGCATAGAATGAGACATAGTCATGATATGACTCCCGGAAGGAGACACGGTATGATGCATGGAATGAGACATGATCATGGAATGATGCACGGAAGGAGGCATGGTCATGGTATGATGCATGAAATGAGACATGATCATGGAATGATGCACGAAAGGAGGCATGGTCATGGTATGATCAACGGAATGAGACATGGCCATAGCATGAAACACTTGCATGTTATGGAGCACGGAAAAAGACATGACCACGCTATGGAGCACAGAATGAAACATCGCCAAGGAATGAAACACAAAATGCATCATGGACATGGAAGAAAACACAAAATGGGACATGGCCCTGGTATGCATCATAAATTGAGACGTGACGGTGAAAATGTTTGTCCTGCTAATCAAAACGAAGAAAGACCGCTTGAAGAAGATACTGAAAATATGCAAGAAAATAGTGAAGGTGATACTTTTACTTTTTATGAGCCAAAGACAAGTGCTCAAGTAATGAGCGAAGACAACAGATTCCAAATAACTTTGGAAACTTCGTATTATCAACCAGAAGAAGTTTCAGTAAAAATTGCCGATGGACAAATTGATGTCTCTGCTATGCACGAAAGTATGGAAAATGGTTTATATGAGTTTCATGAAATGTATCGATCGTTTAATATTCCAAACAATGTCAATCCAGAAGTCATTACAGCACGCTTAAACGCTGATGGAAAACTTATCATTGAAGCAGCATGCAATGAGCAAGAGGAAAGTTCGCCAACTGAGCGAGATATACCAGTGATTCGAGTGAGTGAATAATTATAATATTAATTATATTATTCAAAAAAATAATTTTATTATTAAAATGTAAATGGTCGAACTACAGTGATGAATGACTTCTGGAAATATTATGTATATAAAAATATTATATCGATACGAAAATATTATATGTATAAAAAAATAATATCTTACTATGTAGGGCCAATTTTGATGAGAAATATCGAGGTTGATTTGGATGAGAAAATTTAATGATGAATTATTTTTAATTGAGTAGTGAAAATATCACCTATGCTTTTGAGAAAAGATTTTACTGATGGTTATATTTCTATTTAGTTTTTAAATGATTATCACCTGCATTCCCAATGAAAAACTATGACTTCAGAATTAATTAATTCCAAAAAAAAAAAAAAAAGAAATATTCTTACCAGGTGATTATTCTATTTTTTTATTAGTATATAACTAACATTCTTGCATGTGTTTTGTACTTTTATATGTATACATGAATTGAATTTTAAATAAATGAAAATGAAAAAATATTGCTTCATTATTTATCCCGAGTTGATTAAATTTTTTTTTGGATTGTATATCAATCTCTGTTAACTATTAAAAGGTATATTTATTTACAGTATTTATCTCTTTTAATACAGTTCATTCTAAAAATGAACTTTATCTATGCATTGATTTCACATTAAGACTTACTGATAATGTTTTTTCAAGTCAAGTATATATGTTAAAAAAAGTTTAAAATTTGGATTTTAAAACAGGAGAATAAAAAATAAAAATTTTATCTTTAACACAGAAAAGTAACATTATATATCTTTACAGTTTCAATGTATAGTGATAAATAGTTATAACTAATAAGATTAAATTGATACTATTCTTTAGGAAATAAGAATGTGTCGGTCTTACCTTAATTGTAAATAAATGCAAGCTTTATAAATAAATATTTAAAATAACATAAAAACAATAATAAAGATTTCATTTAAAAACTGATATTTTGCTAAATTAAAAAAAAAAAATAAAATACAATACTTAATTTTAGAAGATAATAGGTAAAAAGTGTATTTAAAGGAGAAATGCTACTTGTTCTGAGGCAAAATAACACATTGTTATTATCAAATGATAGTGCAAAAACACTTACTTAGACTTATTGTCTAAAAGGATAAGCATTATTTTATAAATAAGAATTTAGCTTGGAGACAGAAATACAATGTTTTTACAATTAATTATAGATAAGTTTATGTGAATTTAAAATTTATTCGGATTCTAAAAAATACTTCTTCAACCACTTTATTTTTTAAAAAGACAATAAATAATGGTGCATTTTAAGGAGCAATGTACTTTTCTACTCCAATTCAAAGTAACACATCAACGCGAACACACTTATTTAGACTATGATATTTATTATCGAAAAGGAAAGGGAATTATGGAACTAGAAATTTAGTTTGGAAACGGAAAAACATTATTTGGAAATGAACTACATCTGAAATAAGTGTATGTACATTTGAAAACAAAAATTTATTTAGATTTAAAAAAAAAATAATACCCCGAACTCTAAGAGTCTATAAGAAAAAGTGTTTTTATAAAAGAAATGTAGTTATTTATTCCATTTTAAATTAAGACATTATTATTTAAAATGATCGAACAAACACACTTATTCAGATTATATTTTATAATATTTTAAAAGAAAATTATGCATAGCAAAAGAAATATAACTTAGCAACTGAAGATTCCAGCTTTAAAAAAAAAAATGATAATTTTTACAGGTATGTATATTTTAGAATTTTCTTTTGAATGTTACTATAATAATATTTATTAATTTTGGTTACGATGTTAAGAAATAATATTCAATATATGATTCATTGCTGGGAATCACAGAAGCTCAATTTTTGAGGGGGATAAAATTAAACTGTTATAATAGTTCTCTAAATTTCACAAGCAAATAAAATGTCTTAAAGGTGCTAAATACCTGCAAAATGAAAATATCCTGCTAAATACTTCCCCACCAACAAAGCCCATGAATTCATTGCATGATATTAACTTAATAAGCAGGATATCATCAATTGATAAGGAAAATCATGCCTAACACTATAAAAAAAACAAAAAAAAAACGCATAACTACAAGAACGAGATATTAAACCAAAACCTAGCTTAATAAAAGCTAAATCAAACATGTTTAAAAATAGTAAAAATTCTGCAGAACACAAAGTACTAAAAACTTTTTTAGAAATTCTTGTTAAGTAAAACAAGTTAAAATAATTAAAGTAAAGTAAAGTAAAGTTAAAGTAATTGTATAAAACTAATAAAACTGCTAAAGTAATTGTATAAAACTAATAAAAAAAAGGAAAAATTGTTTTAAAAAGTAATTCAAAGATATTTTTAATAATGGCATAGAATTTTCATGAACTAAGAAAAAATAACTAAGAAAAGACACACATGAACTTTACAAATTAATATTTTATTTTACATTTAATTAGTATTTTAGGTGTTTATCATCATTTTACATCAAAAACAAATTACGAGGCACATATGTCTATATCATCAAATGAATACAAGCATAGATTGATAAATTAAGAGCAATAGCTGTTTTTAATTTATCAGAACTAATAGTAAAGTTTATTGAATAACTTAAAAAAATTCACACCTTAAAAGGGAAAATTAATTAAGAATTAAAGATAAAAATGGGTAATCATTATAGCATTACAGTTCACATTTCTTGATAATCTTTGAAATATCAAGTATGATATCAGTTTTAAAACTTAAGCAGCATATGATATAAACATAAGATTTTTGAGAATGAATGAAATCATTTGCATTTTTAATTTTATAAAACAATTGTAAAGTGATATTGGCGATATAATTTTTTGCCACTATGCAGATGAAATCAATTACATAATCTTAAAAATTTCAAAAAATATTGTCACAGAAGAAAGTTTAATCAAAAAAGAAGAAAAAATACTTAAGGCAATAATCAAACCTATTAAATTAACTAAGTTCCACTAGGTCAAAGTTCAAAATCTATTTAATTATGCATGTCTAAAAGTGTAGGAATTTAAAGTTGTTTAAATTATCTAAATATAAATATATATATTTTAATTGGAAAATGATACATAAGGAACATTCAAAGATAAAGGCAAATGAATTATATTCTTAAACAGCTTTGATTTTCATAGATTGATATTTTAAATATACACAATGCATAACAATTAAATATCTTAATCTATTATTTCATGTATAATTAATTTAAATACAATACAATGTATTTCTATATTTTAATCAGGCATATAATTTTTTGCCTAGGTTTAATAATAAAATATAATATGTTTGGTTTAGTAAAATAAAAAAAGAATGTAGGAATGTTATGCCTGTGATTTATTCCAAGAAAAACCAATATCAAACTGAACAAATTGGGCTAAAAATTGTCCAAAATTTAACAGTGAGTACAATTAAAATATCGTAAAAATAATGAACAGCAAATAGCTTCCTTTTATGTCATGAATGAACACAAAATACTTTTAATAATAGATTTAATAGAACTATAAAAGATCAAATTCTATCATTTTGTTTAGCAAAAAGTCATAAACATAGTAATTTTTTCAAAAATGATGGAGTGTCATTTGTATTACACTGTTGCTCATTAATTATAATACATAACCTTTCTTTATTTCCCATAAAAGGTCACAGGCTATGCTTTTTAATGTAAAGGTTTAATGTAATTTGTTTGTAAAGCTGCATCCATTCATTTTTGCATCAAAACATTGGTATAATAAAATATTTTGGGCACACTTGGTTATTTGATGTGAAACTTTATTACTTTGCACAGTTCTATGAAAACAAAAAAAAAAGACTGTAATGAAATTAACAAGCAGCAGTATATAGTTCTATGATCTAAAAAAGAATTCAATATTTAGCTTCATAATGTAAAATATCTCTTTAAAGTTACCAAAAAGTTTCCTTTTTCATAAAAGTAATACACAATTAAAAGAAATATTGTGGTCATTTTAAAAGAAAAAATTATCTTTGTCTTTTTATAAGAAAATTACAATAAGGCATTTTTTAATACAATGTATTTTGGAGTCACATGTAATATAAAAAGGAAGCATAGTCACATTTTAAAATATTTAAGAGTAGAAAAACTCAATTAAAACACACAGGAATAAAAATGAAATGATTTCATAATATGTGTGGCATCTTAATCTAAAAATTGTCTTTCAACAGTTTCTTAACTCAGTAGTGCAGCAGAATGTTTAACAATGAAAAAGTAAAGCATAATCTCATTTTAAAATATACCAGAGTAGAAATAATTATTGAATAATAAACTAAAAGAGGGAATAAATACGAAAAGAATCTAGTCTTGTATTATGCATTGCATAGACTAAAATATTGGATATAACACAAAATGTTGAATATTTAAAAAAAAAAAGAATATAATAAATTGCATAGTGCATGCATCGCATAGCGTAACTAATATTAAAACTCTTGACAGTTTCTTATTTTAGTAGTGAACTAAAATGTTTCCAATCAAAACGGAAGCATAGTCTCCTTTAAAAAAATACTAAAGTAGAAATGATTATCTTATGAGAAATTAAATTAAAATGTGAGAGAATAAGTGTAGAAGGGAAATAATATTGTTACATGCATTGCATAGCATTTAATATGAAACATTATTCAACTGTTTCTTATTTTAGTAGTGAAGCAAGATGTTTAATGACTGCAAACTCTGTAATATATCACACATTTATTTGTTTCAGAATGACTAGAATAAGGCATTAAAAATCAATTTACTGGTTAAAGCCTCTCACTGTATCTAATATTGTGCATCATGAATGTTTGCATATTCATTTATTGCTCTTCCTCCAAAGTCTTTAGCGCATTCAGTATATATTAGACTTATGAGATCAATAATCAAAAAATAAGTAGTAGGCAGCTCAGTACAATCAAAATACTTCATTGGGTAAGAGGCACAGATTATTATAATATATCTACTCAAATTATAATTCTATCACATAACACTATACACAAGTACAGTGAAAACATACCTTTATTCAACTCTTTATCTTCAATTCAACTCATACCTTTAATTTTCACAAATTTTCATGAATTGTATCCGTGGAAACATTTACGCAACTACAAAACTGGTAAATAAACCTTTTTATGGATTTCTTTAGTTTGTCCAGGTTCAATCGAATTGTTTTGTAAATATTTTAAAATCCAGAATAGCAGTTAAAATAAAGTGACTTGATAACAACTTAGTTATAGTGAAATAATGTACACAAATGCAATGAAGGAACAGTACTTCATACATTTCAATTGTTCAATTATTATAAAAAAAGTACTGATATAAGACATATTAATATAGATTTTATGAGTAACAATTGATAAATCTGTGGGTTTATTAAGATTTTAAAAATTTATTGGATTTACAATTTTTAATTTATAAATATTTAAGTCCATTTTTCTAAGATAGTTTTTTAAATTCAATATTTGCTTCATCTTAAAAAAAAAAAAAAAAAAAAAAAAAAACTTAATACATTTAGCAGGTTTTTAAAATTTTTTAACTGCTTTGCAATACCACAAATTACATTAATATTTAAATGGTATAAATTATAATACTGCTTTAAGTGAATTTCACCAGCATACCAACTATATCACTGAAAAGATGAGGCTAGCTCACCTGTGATAAGTTTGAAGGATCAAATGTGTTATGTTGCCATAACACACAGTAAACCCATTTTTTAATAAACAGAAATAAACAATCACAACTGCATCAACATTTAAATAAATATATAAGGTACATCAACACATGATAGAACAATGGCAATAAATATAACATATATTACAATGCAACACTTTGGTGTGCTACTTCGACTTAGATGCCTATGACTTTATACACATTCAAACACAACAATGTGTGACAAGCAAGTAGTATCACAAGCAAAGCACAGATATTACGCTAAGTGATAAATAAATAAGATTGTATAACAACTTACATTAAAAACAATGATAATATGAAACAATATATACAAAAATATGTAATAAAGTTCACCCAAGAACAAAACCAGACTGAAAATAGATATATATGCTTTGAAAACAAGAATTTCATTTTAAATTAAATTTTAAAAAAATACCAGAAAAATAGGACAAAGCTAGTACGTTTTTTTATCAATATGATAAATAAATACAGACTTTAAAAGTGATATTTTTGAATTGATTCATTTTTTTTTGTCATATTCAAATGATGCAATTTCTTTTCAAATAATTTTAGATATTAAAATATAACAAAAAAAAAATTATAACGAAAAACTTTAAAAACAACTTAAAGTTAAAAATACTTTTCAAAAATAATGAAAATGTTTTATATACATATATGTAAATTTACTGCTATAGTATAAAAATTATTCATTTTACAATGCCAATTTGCTGGCAGATGTTTTATACTCACCCAAAAAATACACATGTATAAACTTTAGACTGAAAATAAAAGATTTAGCAGCAATTTATAGAAATAATAGCTGTCTAAATTATATCACAAATGGAAGCCATATATATAAAAAGTGAGTGAACATACTAGTAGAAAGAAATCAAATGTACCCAGAGCTATAGCTTGATACATTACTACTCATTTTTCAAACACCGATTAAGTAAAATTTAGTGAATTTTATTAAATGTCTTTCATAAAAGTGTCCATGTTTTTAATGACTAGTTTATATATTTTACATTATGCCAGTAAAGGTAAAGGCAAGGAACCATTTTTCCCCAGTAACAGTGGATGTGTTTATTTATATTTCACTTTCTCTATTCTTTTGTAAAATAAAAATTTACTTTGTTCAAAGTTTAAAGCATAAAAAAAAAATCACAATTCATTTAGTTACTGCTAACAATGTTATAGAGGTTTTTGGATTTATTTTGCAAACAGTTAAAACAGAAAATTTGAAAATTGTTACACAGGGTGTTCGAAAATGTAATGCAAAATGCTCCCAATTTAATATATATCCCTCAGAAATCCTATTCAATGTAAAATTAATTAATACTTTTGAATCTTTTACTTTTTTGTTAAGTTTCTAGAACTGGCAAAATTTGTATTAAAATTATAAGTTCTTTTCTCTCTCATGTTTAAATCATCGATATCAAGTTTCAAACTATTATAAATTGTTAAATGACAATAAAAATTTGCACAGATATAATTCGCATAAAAATTTTAATCCTAGACCTCTTTCAACTGCATAAATGATACCAGAATGCATCTCAGATTTAAAATTTTTAATTCATTATAGAGAAAGTGAGGTATAATAAACACATCTAATATGAGTTTAATATATGCTATACAACTACACATAAAGCACCGAATGAGAATTAGCTAAAGCTTCAAACTTATGCAGGAATGTAACCTATAGCTTCATTTTTTTCAGTATTCCAATTAGAAGAAGTGTTGGGGTGGGAGTGGGAGCTTCATGCTGATGTTGAGATAGGGCGCCTTCTGGATAATTTAGATCTATTGAAATAATAAGTTTTAATATTCAAACACAAAAAAGAGGTTACATAATAGTTTCTTTAAAAAACTTCAAAATAAATTAAAAATTTTAAATTTAACCTAGAAATTGCATAAATATTCTTCTGCAAAATCAAAGTTCTATCAATACTTTTTAAAGAACCTTCTGGATAATTTAGATCTATTGAAATAATAAGTTTTAATATTCAAACACAAAAAAGAGGTTACATAATAGTTTCTTTTAAAAACTTCAAAATAAATATTAAATTTAACCTAGAAATTGCATAAATATTCTTCTGCAAAATCAAAGTTCTAATAATACTTTTTGAAGAAAAGCTAATCAGAAAAATTACAAAAGCATATAAAAGTAATCAACTTATAATAAAACATATAATAATTTATCAAAAATAACACCAAGTTAAAAAAACAACAACATCGCAATAATAATGAAACCAGAAGAAAAGATTCAAATAAAACAAAATAATATAACTTAATGGTTTTGAATTAATAATGTATAGCAAAAAATTGTGTTCAATAAATAATTTTTGACACATTGATGGTATAGTCTTAAATAACGATTTAGAGTAATCTTGTCAAACTAAAACTGCTTTCCAATAAAATAAATCTAGCATTTGTTTCTATTTAATCCTAACCTGAGGATTAATTCTTAAAGGAAATCAAAACTACAAACCTGATTTGCCCAGCTAGCAAAGGATTGATTGCATAGAGCCATTCATAAACTTCCTTATCACCTAATGTCTGAAGAAGGAATCCTCTATGCTTTGTCACAACTGAGAAAGTATTTGGAACCTACATTCAAAAATATTATTAAAGTATTATGAGAAAATAGAGCTATTTTAATGATGTTATTTAATCATCTAACATTATTCTAAATATTTGACTATTTTATAGATGAAGTATATATTTATGGAAAAAAACACACATTTATTTGGTTCACAAATATGTTTGTAAACATTGATGTAGCTTGGCATTTATGAAAATTTAAAAATAAAATAAAATACATATTTCAGTTAAGGGGATGATGGCATGAATAATTTTGACAAGAAAAATGACCCCTAAGATTTTCATAATTTAATGATAAAATAGAAAAGAAAACATTTAGAATTATTTCTAGATGAATAGAGTGTTTTTTTAATGAACTATACAATAGCTTTATGCATACCTATTGTAAGAAAATTGTCTGAAAAATTAGCCCATCCTCAACTTGGATGTCTTAAAAAAAATTAAAAAAAAAAAAAAAAATTGAAAGTTTTTGAAGGAAAATTCTGTGCTTGTACAGGATGAAATGTTTAAACTGCGAATTAATTTCTGAACTACAAATGGTTGAAAATATAGTTGGAAATTTATTTTCGAAATTTAAATAACATTTTAAAAATTAATCTAAAAACAAGAAATTGGCAGATGATATAATGATGAGAAACTACACCAGGGATGAGATTAGCCAAAAGGCAAAAAAGCTGAATTTCCACAATAGTAAATTTTACGCAAGCGCAACCCTTTAATAATAAATTTCAGACAGTTTAAGGTGATAAATAATATGTTGACATACAATTGGTACTAATCTATTATTATATAAATGATTACATTGATACTTAACATTTAGTGAAAATAAAAATTACCAATTGAAAAAAAAAAGCTGGAAATTATATTTTTCCTCAGTTCACATAAGAGACAATTATTACTTGAAAAACTACCTGGTTCAGCAAATTAAAACTACTGAGAATATACATTAATATTTCATTTCTTTTAATAAATACTGTTATGTGATTTATAGCAAATATATCAGTAATATTACTTTTTAAATTATATTGGAAAAAAAAACTTTAACAATGGACCGAATCATTATGTTCATATTATAGTCTAATCTAACTAGAGCCCTCTGAAACATATCAATAACAGTGAAGTAGAAATATATAGTAACTCCTTAACATACAAAAATTGCTATTTTAGTTTGAAAAATTACATGACAATCAGCAACTGTTTAGATAATTGTTTTTTATTTGATAAGAATTTTGCATTTTATAGCATAAATAACAGCAATTATAAATAAAATTTTGATGATGAGTTAATTAACTCTTTTTCCCCCAAAATTTTTTTTTAATTAAATCCCTTTTTAAGTGATTGCTTTTGTTTGCTATATCTTTTATGTTTGCTATATTTAGTCGTTAGTCCATCTTCAAACATCTTGTGACAAATCCTATTTTTTCTTCTTTGCAAGCACAGAATGTAAGTTTTGAATATATTCCCTTCCAGTTTCTCTGATGTTGTAACACTTACATATACTAATAATCGTCGTTAGAAAAACAGTCACCTTTATAGTAACTAATTAAAAAAAAATTTACTTCTTACAAGAATCGCGATAGTTGATCTTAAAATTGCGTGAATATGAATAACAATTATGGATTTTGAAATCACATGAATATGAAACTAGATATACGATTTTGAAAATGAGAAAATACAAACTGGGATATAGAATTTTTAAAACGCGTAAATACAAATCACGATTCATAATTTTTAGATCGCGTAAATACGAATCATGATGCGGAATTTTTAGATTGCATAAATAAGAATTATGAATTTTTAGAGTGCGTGAATGCGAATCCCAATGCCTTATTTTAAAATAACGTATAAATACGAAAATCAATGTTTGATATTATAAACCGCATGAGCAAATCAAGACATTGTATTTTAAACTTGCATGAATATGAATCGCTACATAGGTTTTTAAAATGGCGTAAATACGAATCACAATATCGGATTTTTAAATCTCGTAAATAAGAATCGCAACATACAATACTCAAATCATGTGAATCAGAATCGCAACACGCAAATATGATAAGCTATGTTTGATATTAAAATCGTGTGAATGAGATAGAGATATTAGCAGATTCCAGGCTTGGGACCTCTAAAAGGCTTGTCAGAAGCAGCGTCGTTTGAACTACAAAAATCGGATCTATCTGGTGGGCGGGTAAAAAATTCCGAAAATCTTATTTGCTGTGAGTAAACGGAGAAAAAACAGCTAAAATAAGTAAAAATGAGGAGGGTTTGGTAGCTATGTAGTTTGAATTTTCTGTTTTTCTTTGAAAATCGGTAAATTTTCTGAAAAAGCGGAATACTTATAAAAAAAAAAAAAAGAAATTTTTAGAAAAATCTGAATTTTTGACAAAAAAGCTGAAATTTAAGTGATGAAGGTGAAAAAAGCGGAAATCCGCTAAAAAGCGGAAAAATCTCATCCCTGCTACACACAATATCATTATGGTTCAACAATTAAATACAGACTTAAGTTACATAAGTCAATTTTACTTACCATAAAATTAAACATTATTCACAATTATCAGTAGTATTTCTTTAAATATTGCAACTTGTACTTTAAAAACATGCATTACAGATTTCATAAAATGCATGTTATGTGTGTTTTCTAACAAAAAGTTTAGACAAGAGAATAATTATAAATTTTTCAGAAAATTTTAAGTACTTAACTACATGAAAAAATAAATAGACACTTTTTCAACTGTTTCATCCTTCTTTTTTAATGTAAAAAGAAAATTATTTCCTGATTCATACCATTATTATTAATAAAAGAATGTGTTATTCATTCTTTAATCACTTTTATTATATCATTTACTAAGTTTTTTTCTTCTTTTCAAATTTACTAAATTCCTTTTAACATAAAAATTGTATTCTTAAATTTCTAGTTTTTATATCTCACTGATTATAAAAAAAACTTAATAATTAACAATGACACTTGTTTTTTTTTTTTTTTTTTTTTTTTTTTTTTTTTTTTTTTTTTTTTTTTTTNTTTTTTTTATTTTTTTTTTTTTTTTAAAGAATTGTACCAATAATGAAGCAATTTTCTTAATTTGAAGCTTACCTTTAGCATAGCTTCTTGGTCTTCACTATATTCTACTTGGGCTGTAGCTAAATTTATCATTCCTCTTTCTACAAGATCTTTCTCATTTTTATAGATAAAAACATAAGGGCGACGTACAACCTGTTAATACAAAGCTCAAAATGATTGATCATGAAATACATTTATTTATTCTATAAAGTTAAAAACAACATTTTAGTTTTCAAGCTGGATTTAAGAAAGCAATGTTGATGTCCCTATTAAAATCAAAACTAAATTAAAATTTAATGAATTTATATCTTTGCTTCAAAGCAATCTCACCACTTGCTTTCTCATATTCAAAAATTTTATGAAAATAAAGTTGTTTTGTGATCATACAATGGAAAAGTTTTAGAGAGCAATCTTCATTTCAAATACACACACAAAAAAATAAACATTAGTAAACATGAAAAATTTATTTTAATTGAATGCATCTTTTTATGATTTAACATTATATACATTATCAATTAAATGATAGTGAATATTATGTCATCATTACATAGAAAAAAATTTGGAATTAATAAATTTAGATGATTCACATGTTTGTGACTTAGAGAAATAAAATAAGAAAATAAACTATAAATTAATGATTTATTTGCAATCATTTTTTATTTTGTGTAAATTTTTTAGAATGTAAGTTTTTAACTTTTATAAAATGGAAAATTCAAGCTTTTACAGTATTTGTCAGTAACAATAAACAGGAGAGATAAATTTACTTACGACCCAGTGCTTAACCCATCCTTTAGTTTTGTCATCCAAACAATTTAGGTAGCCTTTACGAGATATAACAGGGCTCACTCTAATCTCTTCCACTTCTGCTACATAGAGGAAACGACCAGAGTTGCGATGGGAAGGAGGCGCTGAAGATGACCTGGAAGTTATAGACATGTGACGATCTTCTTCACCACCTGCACCTGGATGCAAGGCTCTCAGGAAAGACCTTAAATAAAAATAAAATAAATGCACTATTTTTGAGACTTAAACCTCATTTAAATATTTGTAATTTCTCAATATGTATCACAGTAATGATAAACTACGATTTTACATTATAGCAGAAAGTTATATCAGTAATACAATATGAATATTTTAATATGTACTTATCATATTCATTCAAAAGAAATAGCAAGTTCCTAAGCTTTACATTTCTGTTAGAGACGCTATAAAAAATAACCTCCAATGGGGTTATTTTTAAAATGTCCCTTTACAAATGTCTCACAGAAATTAATTTAAAGCAGAAAAGGTAATTATAACAATAGGAAAATAAAATGAATCCCATATTTTCAATCTTGAAGTGCAGACAACTTTCATGTTAAGAAAAACTTCTCATGAAAATATTACTAGGAAATAATTTCCCAGGATTACTTCTCCACTAGAACATAAAAGAAGAATATATATTTTTTTTTGAAAATTATGAAGAATATTTAAAATGAATCGCATGGATTAATCATTATTTTGCAGAGTTTTCATTTCAATGAAATTCACAAAAAGAAATGGGTAATAAAAAAAAAAAACTACAGCAGTTTTTATGTAGAGTTTCAAAGAACAAAATATTTCAATTAACTTCGATGAAAATAAATAAAATTATCCTTTTTAGTATTAACATAACAAATTACACAGATCTTGAATGTAGATTGATTAAAAATACCACTTGCGCTTAGTTCATTAAAAAAAAAGTTATGTCACATTACAATAATTAGTCTCGATTTATATATGTTTTAGAATAAAAGAAATATAATTATTAACTTACTCTTGAGAAGAAGACGATGCTATGCTCGAATGTATACTCGAAGATCTAGATATCACATCAACCTCATCTGTTGGGGTAGTAAGCTCATCCTTAAACAATAAATAAAATTGCTTTGTTACCTAGTAAAATATTTAACCAGATAAAGAAAAGAAAATATTTTCAAGAAAAATAAATAGGATTTTGAATAAAATTACTGTTTCCATTAAAATAAAGCCGAGTATATAACTGAAGGACTTCATGCAATAGAGTGATAAGCCACAGTATTTTTAAATATATTTTTGCATAAATATATTTTGTCCCTTGGTATTGTTTCCAGTCGCAAACTTCATAGGTTTTCAGAATTTCCACTAGATGGCAGCACAATGCACAAAATCAACTCATTGCTAATATTGTGTTTATGCCAAAAACATTCATTATTATAATACTGCACAAGTAAGTTCTTTATTTAAATTTTGTCCTTAAAATCATTGTAATAGATATAAACATTTCATATACATTATTTAAGCAGTCACTAAAATAAATTAAAACCAAACTGTATAATACAAGAAAATGTTACATAACTCACTTTATTATAAGGTATGGGAGGTGGTTTTGATGGAATGTGACTATTGATTAGAGAGAGAATTTTTGTTGAAAGCTCCCTTTCTTTGTCTGTCATTTCCCAAGGAGCATAGACAGATTCGTCAATAATAGTTCGATTAGAAACAGTAGGGGAAGTTGGGGAAAGTATCAAAGAAGATGGTATATTTCCATCAATTGAGGCTTTTGCTACTAAATTACAGGCATCTTTTTCCATTTTACTGATGTCAGCTGTATGCCCAATGAAGTGGTCAATTCCAAGTTTTTCCCTGAGTAATAATAAGTGTCGAACTCTCTCAACCTATAAATTATAAAAGGTCATTGACAAATTTTATTATCTCAATTTGTTTTTAAGATATGTATTTTATAAATAAGCATAAAAGATACAAATAAAAACAGAATAGCTATATTACAATAAACTTTTTCAGCAATGGCAATAATATAATTTCAAAAAAAATTAATATTTAATAAATGATGATGTGATTAATAAAATACATCTTTTGACATTTATAAAATCAATATAATTAAAAATTTCTTTAAAATATTCTATACCTAAAAAAACATTATGTTTTATGCCAGAAAAAGAATCTTAAAACTTTTCAGTTTGTGAGCTATTTTACTTGCTTTTATCCTGCAATTTCGTAGCATAGAATGTCTAGAATAACTGACACTGCATAAATTATAAAAGGGATTTGCATTATCAAAAGCAGCAATAAAAAGTTAAAAAAAAGTATGTATGCATCTTTAGAGTCAAAATTAATCTAATTCAAAATTAAAAAAAAAAAAAAAAAAACAGCACAAAGAAGGGTAATGATAGGTATTGATAAAAACATCTTTAAACTGGTTTCACTAAGTTACATACACATCTATCACACTAAATAATAGTTAGCATTGACATAATTATCCCTTGAGATTAATAAGAAATAATTTTTTATAACATATTTTACCCTCAGAAAATGAATTATTAAAACAAAAAAGCAATGCAATAAATTAAAAAATAAATACTAACTGTTGGTCAGTGACCTATCCAGTGTTCCTTATATTTCTCCTGTTTGGAAATCCATGATTAAACCTAGCTACCCCCCCTTTTTTTGTTCCTTGCTTCCTATTCTTCGTCATCCATTCACCCTTCCCTCCCATTGGCTGTTGCTCTAAACCCTCTTGTGTCGTCATCTCTCTATATATATTTACCCTGTTCTCTTATTTCTTTCTGTTGCACTGATGAAGGTTGCCCTTTGAGCATCCGAAACAGATGTCTGCATTTCATATATTTTTCGTGCTCTTAAACGTTGCTTTACCTTACTTTGTATTTCAGCACAAAGGTCGCCCTTATGTTTATTTACTAACTGTATAATTTTAAAAAAGTAAATTAGTGCTAAAAAATTAATAAATATTTAATAAACAATTTAGAGTAAATGGATACTTACATCTTCCAACCTAGTCATCTTTTCCAATTCCCACTGGTGGTCAAAAATTAAAGAATCTCCACGTGGTCTCCACCCATGTAAATTCTCTTCCCCTCTAACATAAGTCGAAGAGGTATCTAACACACGTCTCTGTCTTCGCTGAACTCCTAGTAAAAATAGATCAAACTTCAATATGCTATTATCTATTATACATCATTCATCAAATGTGAATTAAATCTAATTCAATTGAAACAGATGAAAAAAAATTCGTTTATATAAAATGTTTACTATACCTCATTCAATTAAAAATAGCGATTCTATTTTTAATTCTATATTAAATTGACTGCCAGAGATGAAAGAACTTAGTTCATATAAAATATAAAAATAATTATACAACTGAAATGCTTTAAGGTTTCAATCAAGAACACAAATGAGAACAATAACAAAATTTTTCATAAATGTACTATTGAAATGACCTAATGAAATGTTGTTTTGAAAAAATATAACTGCTTTCACGATTCAGTTCAGAACACATATAGGAACAAACAAAAATTAAAAACAAATATTAGCAAATGTACTAATGAAATGTTTTTAAAAAAGTATACATTAAGTGCATTGTTTTCGCAGATTTGTTTCAAAGTATTAAAATGGTTTCTAAGGAAGAAAGATTCTTAAGAAATATATCATCAAGTATGCAAAATTAGTTGAATTATTTCAGTTATAACTAGTTTCCCATAAATTATGATTAGTAATTCATATTTCCTTTTCTGTAGATGAATAAAAAGTTGCATAAAATAATTTTCGTAAAAAATCTGCATGAGTTTAAAATACTTTTCTTGTTCATAAAAGCCTAATTTCGTCGTTTCTGTGAAATTAAACATACCAACGGTGCAAAAAAATTTCTCAGGTTTTGCACACAAGAAAATATTTATTCAAATACAAAAATAATCGTGTATGTTGCTCTTTTTTATTTCATATTTTTGTATTTCGTGAATATAATTTAGCATATGTGTATCAGAAATATTCTGGAAGAAATTCTCCGATTTAACTTTTTGAAACCACTAATTTTGGATGAAAATATTTACACACACACTTGTAAATTTAAGATTTAAAATGTGAATATCTATTCTCTGGTGGTTGCAGCAGACAAACTTCAATTTTCTCATTAAACATTTTGTGTGCTACTATGTAAGTTTTAATACCAACCTTTTTAATTTGTGTTTTTAATTTAGGTCCCCAGCCTCATGTAAGTTGGAAATCCCTGGTCTATATGACCCTATCATTCAATAACTTCATAAATAATACCTACTAAATTTTGCAATTCAAAAAGGAAAATACCTGGGCTACCAGAATCTGCAGCTCTTTTCATGAGTACTTCATACACACCAGTTACATGGTTACCTTCAGAATTTTTATAAGCTCCAGAAAATAGATGGCGTAGAGATCGAGCATTGGGGGATATCCTTTCAAAGAAAATAAAGATATATTAAAGGCTATCTTTTATACTTGAATTGTAAATTAGAGTACACTACAATAAAATGCATTTTGGAATAAAAAGATATTCAGCATAATACCTTGGAGTTGTTCTCGCATCTCTACCACAAATGATGAGACATAAGTCTTTTGTAATAATTGCAGGCTGTGCACAGTTTTCCAACTAAAATGCAGAGCCAATATTTTAGTTTTAGTATTTTAAAACATTAGTAAAAATACAAATTTTAGTTAAATGTAAAATAAATTAAAAACAAATAAATATAATTAATAAGAAGAATCATAATAAGATACTATTTATGATACTGAAACCAATTTTGTTATTAAGAATTTAAAAAACTTTTTCTTTCATTTTGAATTCTTTAGCAGATTCAATATAAAATAAGCTATAGTTAATGCTTAAGTTCTGCATTGAAGTAACTTTTAGCTACCAGTAAGGTTTCTTTTAAAGATTCATAACAATATTTTTTTATTAATATAACCTGTTACATCATTCTGAGTTACATAATTGAAATGATAATTAAAATGTAAATACACAACATAAATACATATAAATTATAATTTATTTTACATCCATGTCTAAGAGTTTTTTATTTATCAATATCGGATTATATTACTTATGTTTTCAGTGTGTGAGAATTAGGATTTTGAAATTGTTTCATGTTATGTATTTAACGAAGTTACCTCAAGGTAGGCAGAGAGAGTCATATATATTCTTTCTCCACCTGGAGTTGATCGGTTCATCAAGGTTGAGTTGTGCAATGAGCTATCCCAAGCAGCTTCAAAACGATAAAATATTCTGCAAAATATAAAATTAATTTAATTTAAAGTAATAAAAATACAGAATGGAAAGAAATCAATGAATGGAGTAGGAAACAACTAAGTTAAAATACATTTATTAAATTTTATTTAAAAGTTAGCATGGCACTAATATAACTAAGTTACATAAATGACACTAAATAAAAACAATTTGTAATAAAACATATTGGCAGTTAAAAATAATATATCAAATTATATGGTAGAATATATATANGGTATATATATATATATATATATATATAAGCAAATTAACGATTTAACACTGTTATTTTACCTGCTTAAAAAATTCTAAAATAGCAGATCTCTTGGTTGACATTGTAGACAAAAAGAAATGAAGACGTAAATTAAAAACAATTAGTAATTTTTTTATGTCAGAGTTTATAAGCATCCCAAATTCAGATTTTGTTTTAATTAAAAACCCAAAGTTAGTATTTTAAACAAATGGGTAATTTCACAATATTTCTTTTAAAATCATAATGTTACTTTTTCGACAGGGAAATAAAAACAAATCCAATTAATTAATGACTTTGTACACTATGATTTTAAGGTATCAAATACTGTTTTCTGATTTCATCCGTCCTAATGAAATTAGTAAATAAAATTTATATATAAAAAGTTCTCTAAAATATTAGGTTTTCAATGAAATTTTTCAAATTCGAAAATATAATTCATTTATTCAAAAAACTGTAATAGTTTCATTATTTAAGGTTTAGCCTGTAATTATTAAATACATTATATCTAAAGAATTAAAGCCTATTTCAAAATATTTTTTAGTTAAAAGAAAAAACTCTTCTTATATTGTACTTCATAAATCTATAAATTCAGACATAAAATATAATTTAAAAAGAATAAAGAAATGCCAGTGAAAACATTTACCTGTCATCTCCAGTTTTTTCATAATAATCTCCCGGGAATATTCCAAGTGAAAGAACAGATGTATCAGAATCATCATCGTCACATTCAGGAGTAGTCCTAATCCGTCCTACAATTTGTATTTTAACACTTTAAAAATATATTTACAAAGCAGAAAATAACATCTCAATCTTCCTGACAAATGGCCGCCAAAAAATGAGTGAAATATATGTCATATCAATTGTTTTTCAAGCAAATTTAGAAGTTAAGGTTATGTAATTAATTACATATAAATGACCATCTTTCAGATCTAGAAAGCAAACCCATACTTTCCTTTTTCATTTTATGCACATGACTTAACTAACATTTTTATTGTTTACTAATTACTCTATTATTCGAAGATCTTTATTCTTTCTGAAGAAAATATGCTTCAACTGAAATTTGCTTTATCAAAACTCTATATTGACTTTAAATATAAAAAAAGTATAGAACTCATGAACAAAAAGTAAAGAAAATTTTTAAATTAATGATTAGTTTAAATTAAATGTTTTGAATTTTATTTTGAAATAATGCAACATATTTTTAATGAATTACTATTATGCTTTTATTTAACAATCATTTGGAAGAAGTTCTGTTTTTAAGTCAAAAAATATTGCTTGTTTTAGAGGATTCTTGACATTTAAAAGCTAATGAACTTCCTGTACATAATTTAAAAAGATCAAATAACATATTATTCAATTTTTAGACAGAGAAAATATGCTATAAAGAAGTTAAATTAATAGAACACATACCCACAACTAATTCTCGCACCTCCTTCCACTGGAAGTCAATCATGGGTTCATGAACTAAAGTAATCCTAATGCGTCTCTGAATACCTTGGTGTAGTAAAAATGTACCTCTACAAGGACTGTCATCATTATGATCAATGACAGAAGGAACATATCTACACAAAAATGAATCAAATAAGTATATTTTAGTTAAAAACTGCATTTCTATTAATTTCATAGTTAAAATACTTACTCTCCATTGGGTTCTAATTCACATATTTCAAACCATACCAAAAGATCATGTCTTGCGTGAATGTGTGTAGTACTGCAAAGAAAAGTTTTAAAAAGCTATTAAACTCAATTGCTTTTTTTTATTTAAAAAAAATCAAGATCTTTTTAATAGGTTTAGTACCTGAGAGATTGAAGAACACCAAATTTAGGAGAACGAATTGGTTGTGATATAGGTATAGATTGAGGAAACATACGTCTTGGAGGCTGTCGGCTATTTTAGTGAAAAAAAACCATGAGTTTTTGGAAAATATTTTGTATTATGGGTAGAAAAGAAAAGACAAGACATACCTTTGTTGCGATACAAAATCACGGGAATCTCTGTGCAGTGGATGTTGTTGGTAATGGCCAAAAACCTCAAAAACGATAGGTTGTGCCTTTATGTATTCCAAAAAGGATTTAGTAACTTTTACAGTAATCTAAAATAAAATACAAAACTAGTTAGGTATAGAATAAGCTAAGTATTATATTATCGATAGAATGGATAGGTGAAAGGTCAAAATATGAAATTAAAATTTGTAGCATGAAAAGTTTTTCACTAATCAAAATAGAGAATGTAGATTTTATTATTTATGAATAAACTTTCTTCTACAAAAAGTTCTATCCCATCTGGAATAAATTATGAGAGTGTAATGAAAAAATAAAGTAAGATTACATTTTAATTTACATATTATATCCAATTTAATTACAAAATGAGTTACAATAGTTAGAATTATTCAACAAATACTGAACAACCCACTTTTTGTATAAAAGTATGAAGTAAAAACAAGTGGGTCACTATACTTTGTGTAAGCTTAACTTGCCAGTGTGCTATAGCCTATACCAAATAAGAAAATCATTTGTGGGTCAACTATCAAAATATGTTAGCTGATTTCAAAACACTTTCACAATTGCACTGAAAATGCACAAAAAATGAAGTTAGCATATTTTAGAACTATAGCATAAATCAATTTACTTACACATATCAGAACTATTTGTTTAAGAGTTGGATAATAGATATTAATTTCTATTATTGCTAAAAGAATATCACTAACTAGTTAGTATGTATATAATTTATGAAATTTTAATTTACCATTAAAAATAAATAAAAAAAACAAGTAAATCTATTCTAGAGATTTTAATTGGTTTATTTCGAACTGAAAAGAGTTGGATTATAAGTTAATTTTTCTTTTAAAAAGAAATAAAATTGTTAGAAATAAAAAAAAAATATATAATTAATTTTAATTACCATAATGATTTATTTTATTATTTAAAAAAATAAAATAAATGTGAGCAATTTTTGTACATAAATAGTTCCATTTAAAAAAAAAAAAACATAATTAGCATTTATATGGTTTGCTCTATTTTTATTCTTCTTTTTGATTTTGTTAAAAGAAATGAACAGCTTTGAGACTCATCATTGGTTATTGAATATTAAATAAAGATTTATATCAAATTAGAGAAAAAAAATTGCTAGAAAAGCTAGAAACAAATTAATGTAAAAGGCAATTTTAACGGATAAACCTAATTATTGAAAATTCTATTTATAATTTCATTTTATAATAACCATCATTTTATAATTAAAACTCACTAAAAATTCTATGAAAACTGTTCTGTAACCCACACAGAACTCAAATTTCTACTATACTGCCAAGTTAAATTCATACAAAGTATAAGGTACCTTGGCCAGACATCTGCAAACACATATATTTTTTAACTATGAATTGTTTTCCTTTTTTCGTTTCAATTAAGCATTTATCTTATAAGTGCTAACTAGTGCTCTGTAGTCTTGTTGCAAAAATAGAATAACTCCTCAAACTCACATTTTGAACATGAAAAAACCCAGGTGAATGACTTTTTCCAGTGTTTTTCAAGGGTTCTGTAGAGAAGGCTTCATCATGACGGTGAAGAAAACTGAAAGCAAAAAAAAAAAAAAAAAAAAAAAAAAAAAAAAAAAAAAGGACATAAATTTTAAATAAAGGATGAACAATAAAATACAATATAGAGTTTCTTAAACAACACTTACTTGAACTGACAAAAAATATCAGCATATTCTTTAGAAATATTTATAGCTTGCAAAACTGTGACTCTAAATGTGAATTCTTTTCCCAAATGGAGATGATCAGGGTGGTCGCAATTCTTCTCTTCATTTTCAGAGAGGATGTTGCATTTTTCATCAATGTCTTTACTTAATTCTTCTTTGGAATACATATCTGAAAATAGTAAAAACTAAATCAAAACAAACACACATTTTCTTTTAAGAAATTAAAAAAATGCAACGAAAATATTAAGAAAAGTAATGTTTATATAGTATACATGTTTATGCAGTTTAAATGCTGTACAATATGAAGTTAAATTAAAAATGGTTCACAGAGAGTCTTCAAAATCAGAAAAGAAAATTTGTCAATCATAGAGCAAAAAAAAAAAAAAAAAAAAAAAAAAAAAAAAAAAATAAGAAAAAAAAAATAAGAAACAGAATTCTAATTACAAAAAGAATGACCTAATTAAGAACAAGTAATGGGATAAAAGTTTTTTTTCTTCAAAAAATTTAAAATTTTAATTCTTATTTTTTCTATGAAAGTATTTGTGGTATTTGTGTCTACTGTCAAAAAAAAAAAATTACTGGCATTGATCATTTAGCTTAGTTACAGCTTTTAAAAATTTATTTTATGATTTTTTATTAATATTTGGCAACATTTTGCTTCCAGGAGAATGTTGCATACATTAATTTCTCCAAATTCTAAATAAAAATGCATGAAACTGTCATTATGTTATCAAATCACCTTGATAATGGTATTTATAATGTTAAGCAGTTAAATATTAACAAATGAAAGTTAATTCAAAATTAATTTTGAATATAGACCCAAAGCACTTTATAAATCATTCGAAAAACTTTAAATTAAATAATTTTGTATTCCCGCAATGATGAGCTTTTATAATGATACACAGACAATAAAAATATAATAGTACAATAAAAACACAGATTTATATTTTGAATAAATCAAAGCTATATGAAACAGTTTTTACTTAACTAAGCTGAAGACATAACCTACTAGTGAACATGTGGTCTAGTACTTTATTAGTTTGATAATAATAATAGTACCATCTAGTACAGAGGTACTGAAAAAACTTTCAACAGATTTTGGAAATTATAGTTACCCCTGGGGAAAAATTTTAAATAGGAAAAGTTAATAAATTTTTTTCATGATGCTTAAAGTTCAAAATATATAAAAATATAAGAAAAAAATACACCTAGATGATTGTTGATTTTATTTAACATTTGCAACATTTTAGTTTCTAAAATACTGAAATTCTATTTTTATTTTTCAAATTAATTAATACACTTGATATTAAGTTCATAGTAAAATTTGCATTTGTAAACTTGCACAGTATAGTATCAGAAAAAACTTTGTGGATAAAAATTACGAACATTCATGGTTAACTTGCTTAATCAATATTTCTTTATCCAAAGACAAACATTTACCATATTAAGAAAACTCTAAAATGTCAAAAACCATCTGTTTAATAAAACTGGAGCTTAATTCAATTTTAATTTGATACTAAGATAAAAAATAAACCTATTTCAAATCCAGAATTTTCAGGAGTTGGTCCTTGTCCTTCAACAATTCGTTCTTGGGAAGAACTGAAATCTTTTTCTGATATAATTTCTTTTTCTGCTTTTGAGCCCTGAAAGTTAAATTATTTTATTAAAATTATGTATATGAGTTTAAAAGAACATTTTTAAAAAATAAAATATTTTTATACTTAATAAAAAATTAACTATGAATCTTAAAAATCATACTCATATTAATTAAAGAAATTCAGGAAATTTTAATTTTTTTCTATTAAAAATTCACATAATGATGAAAAAAATAAAGTGACAAGCTCTGATTTATTTAAAGAATTAAAAGGATCACAATGAATAATAATTAAATTTTTAAGAATTAAATTAAAAATCAAATAATTCATAATAATTTATTCCTAAGATTTAATTAACAAGTAAGAAAAGAAAATTAATAATCATTTAGATATTTGACATCAATATTACATAAATTTCCTTCCAAAGGAAATGTTTGCTTTCTTTTAAAGTGACTAATTTTGTGATGTGTTGGAACGATAATTAAGTGTAGAATGGTGGAATGAATTAAAAGGCCAAATTTAAATAACTATCAAATTGAATGCACATAAACAACAAAACGAATCAATTCAAATTTAAATAATAATTGTTAAGCCCTTTGTTCCGGCCAGTTGCTTGCCACACAAGTCATGCACATTCATGATTTTTTTTACTGATTACAGCACCATCTATAGATGAGGCAGAAGTTCATAACATTAAACAATGTAGTACAATAAAAACATTTATGTAACACAATTAATTCTATTCAATCTAGTCTTAATAATAAAATTAAGACATTTGTTCCCATGCCTAATTAATTCAAAAAAAGAAAGAGAGATGGAGCTGAGAAGTGTCATGTGTATGATAGAGAAATAAAAAAAAGATGGAGAAGGAGGAAGTGACTGTCTTTTACGGTGGTAAAAAATATAAATAAAAAAAAAGAGTTCTGCAATATGATTAAAACCCACAAAAATAAAAATGTAAGACAAACTAATTACAAAGAACATAAAAAGTGTTTTCTGGATTATTATTGTTCAACAGTCCTTACAAAAGCAACAACCATGTTATTAACATTAAAATAAATTTTTTAAGAAAGGTATGCAATCTAATTTTATAAAATTTTTACCTTTCTATGCTTTTGAAATAAATCATCACTAAAACTGATTCGAGCTGACTGCCTTACACCCCTATGATTAACTTCTGAAGGTTCTTCTTCCTCTGTGAAAGAGAAAAACATAAATTCGGCAGGAAATTATTTTTAAACTATTAATTGCCTTTTCAAAACAAAACTACAGGAAAAAAAACTGAAATAAATAAAATTCATACCAATAACTGCTTGCACAGCTACCCTAAGGTACCCTTTCACGTCACCCTTCTCGTTGACTATGGCAACTTTTTGGATTAATGGTACAGGATATAACAGATTACTCAAATATACAAATGCTCTAAAAGACAATAAATCTAGAAGTTAATTCATTAATCAAGTAGCAATTGAATCATAAGTACAAATGTGTAACATATAGAAAAATAACTTAATAAAAAAAAAATTTAAAATACATATCTAGCATGTTAGGAACAAATTAAAGTACAGTAGGGAACCGATTATCCGGAACGATCGGGACCATTGCTATTCCGGATAACTGATTTTTCCGGTTTTCTGAATCGCTACAAAAAGCCGTTTGTTTATTGTTAAACCCAACAAAAAAAATGCTTTTTTGGAAATAATCTTAAAAAGAAGAATAAACGATGAAGGAATACACTAATAATTATTTCCAAAATGATGGTAAGGTAAACATCTTTCGAAAAAGAAAAAAAAAATCCTAAAATCTTATGAGGAAAAAAATTTTTTTTTTTTAAAAATAGCTCAAAAATTTATCGAATTTCGTTCCGGTTTTTTGGTTTTCCGGTTTTCTGATTTCCGGATAACGGGTTCTGTACTGTATAAGACATTTGGTTGAGAATATTATATAGGTTTTCCCAGAAATTTTTTACTCATTTTGTTATTTAATATCTAAAATTTTTTTTAAATATAAATGAAAAGTAAGTATTTTTTACATTTTGAAAGAAATAGAGCTTCACCAGTTCATGGTAAGTTTAATTAAATACTATTTTGTGCAAAAACGAGAAAAACTTAAATTAATGAAAAATGATTTGTTTAGATGAGCTTTTCTTTTAATTCTATAGTCATAATACATCATACTTGAAATTAAGAACAAAATTAATTTATACAATGATATTAATATTTTATATATGCCTGGTGATTAATATGAGTGAACTGTAAACATGGTTTTATTCATGAAACAATTTATAAAAATGTATTTTGTACATATTTAGAAACAGATTTGAATACACACAAAAAATTAATTATTTACCAGCAGAATATTTAAACTAATTATTGTAATGTAGATGTCAAAATTATTTACATTGAATTTTTTTGGCTTCTTATTGTTACTTGGAAAACTAAATTTTGGATTTATCGGGATTTAGAGACTAATAGCAATAATGTCTTAGGTTTAATTTTAAATATTCATAATGGAAATTAGCTAATCAAACTAAGTAAAATTATAAACTTATTTCCACAATAGCCCATAGTAAGGACATGGAAGTTAAGGTTCCACGATTTTGTGACCTACAATATGATGGTGGCAAGGGGCAGGCCCGTAGCCAGGGGGGACTGTTGGGACAAATCCCCCCCCCCCCGAAATTCTGGGATTCAAACTTTTTAGTTTTTCTTTGAGCCTCTCAGTAAAAAGAAAAACAAAAACTGTTGAATCAAACCTTTTTCCAGTACACCACCTTCGCTAGTCCATCATCTTCACTTGACCTTGTGGCTCATCTTTCCTTCGGTTAGACTACTCCTCCGAAATCAATTGTTTTTCAGCATATTAATTTATGCAATTTCCGAATCTACGCAGATTTCACTGACATAGAAAACCTCATGGGAGAAATGGAAGTATGGGCATCAAAGTGGAACCTGCTTGAACCCCTCAGTAGACCAGATACGGCACTTTCAGCAATGGAAGAATGTGACAGTATCTTTTCCCCAAACACTTATTGCTTGTTATCAATATTGGCTACGTTGCCAATTAAGCATACTTTGGGATATTCCGGTTTGTCCTAAAAAGGTAATCGAAATTTTTTTTCTTCAAATCCCCGTCGCATGTCTTTGTAAACTTTGTTTACAAATTGATTATAATTATTATGTAATAATAATTGAAAAATAATTATTATGTAATATTTTTTAATTACTAGTTTAACTTTTGCAAGCAGAATAAACAATATTTGCTACTATGTTTTCCTTCTACTTTGCATGTCTGTAACTGCCCTTGCTTCATACCATATCCCCCCCCCCCGAAAAAATATCCTGGCTACGGCCTTGCAAGGGGGTAACCATCACCCAACAGCTACCTTTAGATGTATTGATACTTATTAACCTAAAGCTGGATGGCTTCAAGCCACTACCAGTGATCAGACCCAGCGCAATTATTTAACCACTGTGCCATTGAACATAATTAAGGTATAGTAAAAAAATTATCAACAAAATAAATATAAAAAATAAACATAAAATAATGGAGGAAGAAAAAAAAGAAAGAAAGTAACTGAGCATTCAGATATTTCCAGAATTGAACCTAAACCAATATCATAATAAATGCTGCTGAAAAAAATAGTTCCAATTAATAAGCATAATAATAATAGGAAACAAGCTAACCTCCCAATAAGTCTAAACCAAGGAAAACGGTCATAAAATGGATCGCCACCAGTAATGCTTTCTACATTATATTCAGGAGAAGTTGGTGATAATTCAGCTTCATTGTGGTACATTTCTCTCATAAGCTCTAAGCGTTGTCTGCAAGAAACATAGTAAAACATCAGTAAAGATAGAAATTTAATTTGCAAAGGATAAAAAAAATACACACACACACACAAAATAATATGTTTTATTGCCATGCAATTAGCAAAGCGTAAAGCAAGCACAACAGTCAAAATCAAAGGTTGAAAAAATTAGGTTAACTTAGCACAACACTTTCTGTTTTAAAACAGCATTGATAACATGCATAATTTATATAGTACATCATTTGAAGGAATGAAGAATAAAATTTAATGTACTACAGAATGCTTAATGTAGAATTTAAGGGATTAATTACTGTCAATATAAGGGGTAGGAAAGAGGCCTACAAAAAATAATTTATACAAAATGAGTTTATAATAAAATTTATACGTTAGATAGCATGTAAATAATAAATACCTATGCTATGAATTTAGATTTTTTTTTTTGGTCTTTGATTAAACAATTTTCTCTATTAAATATCAAAAAATATATTTTTTAAAAAACAAAAAATAGAACAAAATAACTTTTTCTTTAAAAAAAAAGGATTAGTTTATCAATTTTTTTAGCTTATAGAACAGTTAAAAATTCTTAATAAAAGTGTAGCAATGTGTGGGTGGCATTTAATAGTTCATTTAAAATTTATTATGTGCCTTTTTAACTAGAATTATATTTCCCTAATAACAAAATGGAACATTATCGCTAAAAATACATACATTAAATACACAAATTTCTTTTTAATACATTTTAATTCTTTAAAATATACACCAGTACTAATGTGACAAAGAAAATTTTGATAGTTCAAAAAAATAAAACTATTGCTTATCGAAATGATAAAAAAACACACGTTCCGAAAAAATAATTAATACATTCATGAAAGAAAATTTAGAGGAGATAATAGGTAAATAATAATAACTTTTACTTCAAAAAGTTTCAGCAGCCAAAAATTTTCAAATTAAAAGAAAAATTTTTTTTGCAGGGTGATCAAGAAAATTTACATCATCAATGAAAAACCCTGAAAATGTGAAATGAGCTAGAATATTTTAAAATCTAATTTGATAGAGGACACCACAGTGAAAAAGTTCAGAGGTAAAAAATTAAATATTTCAAGGTCCATAAATAATAGGCCAAAAATTGCAGATTACATGATTTTTTGAATGCTGTACCTATAAATTCAAAGGGATTTGCTGCTTTCAAGCAACACAGAACAAATTTTGAACTTTTAATTAAACTTAGTTTAAACTAACGTTTTTCATAAATTAAAAAAAAATAGTATTTGAAATTAAAATTGGAGCAATAAATAATAATTGAAAAGACTTTTTAAACTCAAAGTTTAAAAAGTTTTTAAACTCAAAGTAGGATAATTAAAGCAATTTAACTATCTTTCAGAGCATGTTCAAATCTATAAAAACATTATTTTCATTTCATACAGCTTTTGATGGAGCAAATTAAGAAGTTTAATATAATTAGAGCCTCCCACCAGATGATAAATAGATCACTAATTCACATGAAATACATTAAAAATTTAAGAAGCTTCAACTTAATATTCATTGATCAGCTAGTTAGAATTATTTGTAGCAGAAAAAGACTAATATATTAAATACTGAAAATTAAACTGTAAGTTTTAATTAAGAACTTTGCAAAATTCATAATGCAGCTATTGTGAATCATTAAGTACTTCCCGTGTACGTACAGGTTATCTTTACTTCTAAGACAAGATGGTACCCATTCACTACTTCAAGCCAGCACTGAGGATCAAACCTCAGTTTTCTGCAATGACAGCTCATTGCCTTTAAACACCCAACCATCACAGCTCATTGCGAATCATACTTTGAAAAAAGTAAATACAGAAGTTAATTCTTTTCAGACAAAATTTTTTTATTTTATCCCCATATTCATTCTAAATTTAGGCATGAAATGGTATTATACTGAACATGTTCAAAACAAGAATAGTTTAACCAGAGCTAAGTGATAATAAGAAAAAAAGTTTCTATCTTCTAAGAAAAATCTTACTAATGAGTTAAAATTGACAAGAACATTTGTAGAGCTTTAAACTAGAATTTACAAGGGAAAAAATCTAAAGGAAAGTTTTCATTGACGTGATCACCCTGCAAGTTTTAAGCGGAAAAAGTACACTGATTCGGCCGATTTTACACAGCGCATCACAAGATAACTCGTGTTTAACGACAGGGCGTTAAGAACAGGACCAACCTGTTTCTGGAAGGTATAAGGCTGTTAACTGTGAGGCCAGCCGATAGGCGCTGCTTAGCACACGCTGTGATGCACTGTAGGAACTCATCATTAGCATCAGGGGACGAATCAGGGGATGTATCTTCATTATATGTGCTACGCATTAGTTCCAGCCGACGTCTACAAGTTATTATAGTACAGATTTAAATACATATAACTCAGGTTGCTTGCATGCAACAGCGTGCATTTATTAAAGGTTATAAAAACACATGCACAACAAAAAATGCATGGAATTATTTTACATGGAATAATGTTAAATGCGAGAAAATAACACATCAAACCAACAATTTAGGCTCATTTTAAAATGTTTCAAGAGAAAATTGTAGTAAAAATATTATTCAACCAAGCTTAACATTATTAGAAACAATGATATGATAAACATAATGGGAAAAAAACCTCATGTAACTGTGTGAAACATGTAATGGTAACATTCGTATTTTAATGAAGTCAAAGCAATATCGTTTTTGATTGATTTATTTTTGAAAAGGCAAATTTTTCCTCTTATAGCAAAATTTTAATACCAAAAAAATATGTTAGTTTCATGCTGAAAGAACATTTTCCTAATTTGAAGGAAATAAATGAATTATTAAATAAATTGATCGAATAAAAAGCTTAATGAAAGGTGTAAGAAGCAGAAATGGTCATACTAAATAAACTCAAATATATCAAGCTAAATGAAAAAAAAAAAATACAAGTAAAAAAAGAAAAGATTCCATTCCTTCCTTTTTCTTTTGGAGAAGTTTTCTAGGTTGCTACAAACTTACGAAGCCAGAATTTAACTGAAGAAGCTTAGCTCTCTGATGAGGATTTTGGAAGTTATGGTTTAAAATAAAGCTGTAGTTCATATCTCAGAAATTCTTTTATGTGGTATGAATGTATGTAGAAAAAAATCATACTATAAAGCAGTAGATCTTTATAATGCAATCTTTGAAACCTGGGGCTATGCATTACATTGAGTTTTATATTATATAGATCATTTCATGTATCTTACTAAATATGGCAATATTAGTCTAGAACAATTTACAAAAAAAAAAAAAAAAAAATTCTGCAGCAATAGAACTAGGAAGAAACAAATTAATAAATTTTTTTGTTTAGCTTTTGAAATTTTAACTTCTTAGCAAATAATTAAGTAAAATTATGTAAAAACTTAATATCTTTTTTTTGGTCATAGAAATTTCTTTACTACAAAATCCATCGTTTATACCCATAAAGCTAATGTGGTTTATGGATAATTGGGCATTATAAAATTGCGTTATATACGTCTTCTACTGAAATAAAGGAAAACTTTAATCGAAAAAATTATGCATACTTGTTTTCAAGCAGCAGTAAAAATTACTAAATCTAAATGCTTGACTCTAAGAGCTAATCAGCATAAAGCAAAAAGCAATAAGTACTGCAATATGATACTAGTTAATAAAAAATATTACTATAATAATTCTAACTAATAGATAAATTAATTAGTAATGCATGAAAGTTATTGTTCAACACAATCATAGTTACTTTCATTAGTTTGTAATAGAAGATTCATAATTTCACATGTTTAGAAGTACAAATTAAAAATAATAAAATAAACTTAAGAATACATTAGAAAACAGGGCTGCCACTTAAATCTGGAAAAAAACTCCCTGTGTTTTCCCTGTACATATTATACACAATATATTAAGAGGAAACATAATTACTGTGCTCTTGTGTCTGCTATATTGGGCTAACTATACTAATTTTAATTGAGGGAAAAACTTGGAAAAATTTAACAGATGAACATACTTTAATAATGCTATAGTAAATTAAATAGTTTAGTATAACTGAAATATTATCCTTAAATATTCATAGATTATGCTTTGAGTGGTCACCATTTTTTAATAAAATAAGAAACATAATAAATAAGAAAATAAACAAAATTCCCAATATTTCTCAGTTTATTAAGAAAAAAAATCTAAATTCCCTGCATTTTAGGTGATTTTTAAATTCCCTGAATTTTACAGGTTTTTCCTGTAGAGTGGCAACCTTGGAAAAGAATTATCTTCAGTCTCTATTTGTTACTCATAAATTTATAAGTACTTAAAAAAGTATCCCAAAATGTTATTGACACAGATCTTATTGTTTTTTTTTTAAAGGAAATACTTTTAAGAACTATTGCAAACTAAAGAATAACTAACAAAATATTTGTAACATTTTCTAAATAGAATTTCTGTTTGAAAAGCTTCTGAGAAAACCAAATAAAAGCAATACAACTAAGTCACATATATTTATTAAACCACTTTATTCATAGAAATTATATATTGCTATCAAAGAAAATATGTTTTCTTATTTTAATATTTATTTGTAGAATAAAAGAAGTGTTGCGAATCACATTTAGAAACATTATAAAGATAAGGGGATTAGCAAATCAAATAATAAGGGATAGTTATCTTTTCAAGTTTACCTCAATTTACTTAATGTCCAATAATGCGTAGCACCGTTTTTGGTATCTTGTACTTCAACTGCTACAATGGTACGGGGGTAAGGGCGATCCATACCATCTTCAATATCATCATGATTCAACATGTCTGGTAACAGTGGTGAATACAGAGTATCAGTTAATAAGACAAATTGAAATTGAACCTGGAAAAAGTGAGCAAATTGTAAAATATAGTAAACCATTGTTTCCTTACAGCTTTATTTTAATTTCATTGAATTTTTTTGCTTCAGTGCTATTCTATAAATACTAATACTGTGTGTGAACGAAAAAAACACAACAACCATTTAATCGATTTTATAAATAAAATAGAGCCTAATCATCCTAATATTAATTTTCTATTTTATGGCTCATGACTTTTTAGAATTTTAAAAGTATAGAAAACTCTTATGAATAGTAAAATTACATATAAATTTATATACAATGAATATAAATTTAAATATAGCTACAAATTGAAAGTCCATAGTATGAGTTGTAATAAGAGTCAGATATATCATACTTTTTTCTTCAGCTCAACACTAATAGCATTAGCTTCTTTTAAGAATATAGCATTTCCCCATAGATCATCACGTAAAGAAGTGAATTGATGATATTTCCATTTTTGGAAAGCCCATTCTGCTAGCTGATATTGGTGCTCAGTCCAAACGGGTTCAACTAAAAATAAATGAATGTTACTTAATATAAAACAGAAATGAGTTTTTATGTTGTAGAGAAAGATAAAAAGCCTATCAATTACTGTAATCGTTATCTTCATCAGTAGTAGTCTCTAACTCATTAATGCAACAAGAACTGTACATACTTGACATTAGTGACTGCTCTTCAACTTGTCGCTGTAAACTTTCAATTTTTGCTTCATAATTCTGCAATACAAAAGTTACAATTTAAAAATTTTGGATTTCTCTTCTCTAAGCTTAAAAAAATACATCATTATAAATCAGATAATAACGAATTACTTTTTGTGTATGTTAAAAAACGTTTTTTCATTCAGTCCTTGTTGAGAACAGATAATAAATTGAATAAAGCATCATATATTAGCATCTTAGATCTAAAGATGATTTCTTAAAACTTGCCAAGCAGACACACACACATATATAATGATATTATATTCCCATCTTTATAATCAAAAATCTTATACTAAAATACACATTTATAAACACATTTTAAAATGAAATAATCAATAACATGAAAGGGAAAAAATGAAATGGCACTCAGCATTTTTCTGCACACATACACAAAATTGGGATAATTTAAAATTAATGTAAAATGTTACTAAAAATATTAAGTAATTAAATAATTAATTTCAGTTTTAAAAGAATGAAAAAAATAAAAAAGTATATAGGGTTTAAAATAACAATAAATAGATTATATAAAATTACAGATGAACAATTCCTTTAAATTGATGAAAACAATTACATTTTTTTAATATTTCAAACACAATAAATTAGTGTAGAATGAGAATTTTGAAAGAAAAAAAAGAGCTTACTTTTTTCTCTTGTTGAAATATTTGATCAGCTTCTTCTTTTTCTTTTTTATACTGTTCTTCCAGAGCAACTAATCTGTAAATATACTACAGTTAATACTCAAACAATTTATAATCTTGGCACTTTAATAGATATTTAAAAGTAATAACCATTTTTACATTAAACTATTTACAAAAGCTTTCTTTTTTTATCACAGTATATAAAATAAACACACGGCACAAGCAGCAAAAATAAACAGTGCAAACTGCAGAGTGTAAGGAAAGGAAAACTGATGTAGTCATACATATTAAGTACATTTAATGAAACTGATTTTAATGATACATTAGCTATATCATCATATATATTGCTGATAAAACTAAAAAACAAAAATTTAAAAAAGGAAAAAAAAAAAAAAAAAAGCTAAATGACAACATTATTTGCTGTAATCATTTTCACTAAAAAATAAATAAATAAAGGTTATCAGAACTATACAAAACTTTGCTGAAACAAAATAATTGAAAAAAATATATATATATTTAAATTGACTTTTAATGATACCTTTAAAGTCTCATTTTATATAGAATGTGGGAAAGTAAATGCTAGACTTTCATAACTCAAGAGATTAGAAAAGAAATATTTTATCCACATATTCATATAAAAAATGTTAATATGAATTAGCATAAATCATTGTTTATTTTCTTCTTCTCGACTTTCTAAATGCTTCTTTTTTAAATGTTTATTTTCTCCAAGTAGAATTTCAATATATTTCTAGACCAATGTTTCTTTTTCTTTTTTTAAGAAAAAAAAAAAAAACAACTAAAATAAATTTGGAAACATAAATACATCTCAGTTTTTTTAGTTATTTGCCCATCTAGTAGTTACCATTATTTAACAGTCTATATATTTTTCCATTCAAAAAATATATAATTTAATGCTACACCTGTGATCTGAATTTAAAAATAGTGTGTTTCTTACACTAGAAAGAAAAAAACAGTAATAACAATGTCCTTAAAAGTTTCTCCTGTTTGTGCACATTTGGGATGGCATAGCTTCGACTTTACAGACACTTAATTTTTTGAAATATATAATACAAATAAAATTTTATATATATATAGCTGGAAACAAACATGAAAAAATATATGCTTATAGATTCTGCATGCATTTATTTAATCAGCATAAAATGAATTATTTCAAACACCTAAACATATTGTTAATATAGGTTTTATAACTTTACATGGAATGCAAAAAAACAAGAAAAAAAAAAACTTTAAAATCGTTTATAGTAGATAATTTTGATGCATACATTATTTATATTGCTTACATTAAAGCCATTGCCTTCAGATTCATCCTTGGAATTTATTACAAATGTTACTTTAATATGCATCGATTGATTGATTGAATGTAGAGGTTTTATGGCACAAGATCCAAAGGAGGATATGCTGCGCCAAACACTTTAATATGCATCAATAACTAATGAAACACACACATATAAAATCTGAGCAAGTGACTTATGATGGTGATCAAAAGCGAATCTGTATCAATGTATCTAAAAAAGATCTTTGACTTACATAGTGAAAGAAAAATAAATAAAACTCACTTTTTTTCCATTTCGATTTTAAGATCAATACCTTGCTTTTCAAGTAACTCTAGCTGAGCAAATGTCCAATCTACCGGGTCCGGACCTGAATAGTTCAAAATAGAATCCTTAGGTATAATACCTAAGTTAAAAGATTGATCAATACCCTTCTTCAAAGAAACACATCAATACACATTCATGAACAGTGTGAAAAAAATTGCCTTGAATAATTTTTGATCTAATGATTGGATTTTCATCAATTAAGAGGAGAGACTTCAAATATGCTAATCAATTAGCCCAGAGGATATTTCAAGTTATGAGATCAGACATAATAATGCATTTTCTCTGAATAAACATACCTTTTTTACAGGCAGATTATAATTCCTGACCCCCAAAATATGCAAAGGATAGACACAATCTGGTAAATATAGTTCGAATAATTTTGTCAAGAGAGCAGTCAAAAGTTTGGACCCCTCAATGTTAATTTTATTTTTTGTGCATTTTGCTACATCGCAAAAACGTTTTAAGCAAACAAAATAATTCTTGCACACTACTATAAAATTTGGTTATCCACAAAAACTATTCCCCACAAAAAATAATTTTTAATAATTATTTTTTAGTATTTTATTTAAAAATAGCTGAAAAAAAATTTGTATTTTAAGAAATACAAATTTTTACATCATTTTAAAGAATGTAACTTTTATACCTGTGATTGGTCAAATACAAAAATAGCTGAAAATTTTACGTGAATTTAATCATATGAAATTATCAAGTCATATGTTACACAATCTTCAGGGAAACACAAATATTAAGTAGTTACACACTTTTGAATTACATTTATTTTATTAATTCTTGATTCAATTAACTTTCTTATAATTCTAGATAAATGTTTTAAAAGAACATAAAATTGATAAGGAGATTATTAAAGAAAAGGAATATAAAATAGCATAGACCTTACACACAGGGTCATATATATTCATTGATTGCAATTAACTTCTGAGTTTAGAAAATTAAAAATTGTAATTAAATTTTTGATGAATGAAAAGAAATTGATACATTACTTTTTTTAAAATTTCACTTCATGATATTTTAATACTTAAAATATAAATGAATAAAAATAATCAAAATTATAAGACATTATTTTAGGAAATAATATCTAATCAATAAATATAAAAATATAGTTTCAGAAATATGATAAAAAGAATTTGAAAACAATAATTTTTTTAATTATCTGAATAAACATAGAACTTAAAGATACAGATACGTTTTGAATTATTAGTAGGCTAGATAGATAACTGACTCTTATAGCTTCTTATTTCAAACTCTTTAAAATAAAAAACATGAATACAAATTATGATGTATGATTATTAAAAAGCATTAATATTAATAGCGAAACTTAATTTCTAATCACATAAATGCATTTTGCAATGTTTGATTTTAAAATAGCGAGAAAAAGAAACAGGGTATTCGATTTTTTAATAACAATAGGCGATTTTTAAATCATTCAAATCACAACATTTGGTCTTTAAATTGAAGCGATGTGGAATAATGATGCATAATTTTAAAATGTATGAATACAACAAGGAGAAATTTTAAAAACTACGTGAATAGAATTCCCCAAATGTTGTTGTTAATTTACGTCGCACTAGAGCTGCACAATGGGTTATTGGGGACGGTCTGGGAAACATATCTGAGGATGATCCGAAGACATGCCATCACAATTTTGATCCTCTACGGAGGGGATGGCACCCCCGCTTCGGTAGCCCGATGACCTGCACGCGAAGTCGAGCACTTTAAGGTAGAACAGTTTAACGAGGACCAATATCGCACACCCTCGGTCCCTACGCAGGCTGATCCAAGTGGTCACCCACCCGCACACTGACCGCAGCCAGTGATGCTTGACTTCGGTTATCTGCTGGGAACCGTGTCTTAACGATTAGTCCACTGCGGAACTGATGTGATTTTATAAAGCTAGAAAGTTTTTTAAAGAACATATAAAGTTTTAAATCACACTGAATAAAAATCGTGATGTTTTATTCTAAAATTGCGTAAATATGTATATTGATCCGTTATTTTTATATGAAATCCGGTTGATATGGAAAATCGAATATTTACTCATAAACCGATATTAAATTGCGACGGGAAATTTCCAAACCATTTCAACATGAAAAGCAAAAAATATGATTGGTAAAACGAGAAATTATGTTGAGCAAATCATGTGAATATTAAGTGCAAATTGTAATTTGTGTCGATTTTGTATTTTGTATTCAATTCGGATCAATTCAATTCGTAAATACGTGTATTGATCCGTTATTTTTATGTGAAATGCGGTTGATGTGGAAAATCGAATATTTACTTGCAAACTGATATTGAATTGCGACGGGAAATTTCTAAACCATGGCCTATTCAAAAGCTTTTTTTTGCTATCTAAAATTAGATTACTTAAAAGGATGTAAAAATTCAATAACCTTGCTATTCAAAATTTTTTAGACTATTATTAAAAATTATTATTTTTGCGTAGACGTATCTTTGAATATACAGATTTTATATGAAAACTTTTCAATTCGCTCAAAAAGTTCTCGAGACATGCAAAATTAATATTAAGGGATCCACACTTTCGCTGCTCTCCTGACCACACTATTAGGACCATATTTCCCAGAGTGCTTCTATCACCGATATTTTGGGGGTCAGGAATCATAAGACATTGAAAAAAAGGTATGTTTACTCAGAGAAAGTATGTTTTTGTGTATGATTTGTCTGTAAATTAGTATGTTACAAGTCATCCCCTCCAACCATTAAGATAGAGTTCTAGTATGTGAAAATTTGATATTTAGATCAAAAGTTATTTAGGGTGATTCTTCTTTCTTCACATGCTGTACTACAATACTGATCTATAATATTATTGTAACATAATATCATGACCAATAATATACTTACTGTTATTTGAAGTTTCAATATAAGATTTTCTACATTCACGAGCTGCAATATAGAATTTTATAGGAGTTTAGATTTAATAAAGATCAATTTAAGGCAGTGAGAAATGGTTAAATGATGAATGTACCTTGTTCAGGATTCTGAAACCTAAAGACATGATATTTGCCAAGAATAACTCGAGAGCCAGTTTGAAGGACAGCTTCATCTGATACTTCTCTACCATTTACATAGCACATAGAATTTGGGCAAGCTTTCAATGCTACTATACCTGAATTAACAAAATTGAATTTTGAAATGAGGTACAGAATTTTTTAAAAATTAAAACACAAATTCTTTGCAAAAAATATTACTGCAAAATATAACAACAGAATATCAAAATGCAAAGAATATGCATAATTTTAAAGTAATTACTTTTTTTAATGTCCTTTCAAATAGCACATAATTTTAAAACAAGCCTTATTGTTATAATTTTTATGATTTTTTTATACAATAAAAAATTATAAATTACTGCCACATAATTTACAGACAATCATCAATGCAATTTTCTTAACTTGCCTTATTTCTGGCTACTGTTGATAAGTAGATGACTTTTAAAGTGAATTTTTAAGTTTAAATATGTATTCTTTTAACCACATAATTTTAAGAATACACTGAGCTCTTGAATCAAGCATACAGCAATAACCAAGCATCAATACTTGATAATCGAATTTAAAAAAAAAAAACTCTCCTGATTAGTTCAGTAGTATAAGCAAGATTGCATAAGCAAGATATCATGACTATTTCATATTAATAGAAGGGGAAAACTGTCCATAAGACTCAGCTAAGATACAAATCAAGTTGAGTGTTGAGATTAAAATGATTATTTAAGCTGTAATAATTTAACTGAGCTTAAAATTTATAAAATATCTTTAATTGAAAGTGTGGGTCATTTAAAAGATTTTATCAAATGTATTTTGATTTTTAGCATATTATTTATTAATAAATAACTCCTAATTTAAGAAACAAAACTTTGTGAACCTCTGTGTTATGAAAATAAAAAAGAAGGGTCTCAATGCCATTATTTTAACCAGAAAAAAAAATGCGAGATGAACATATTTCATGTTACACAATACTGTAGTTCCATCACACACAAACATCGAAATTTTTCTTAAAATTAAACATTTTAAAATATTCCCTTTGATGCAATAATTATTTATAATTACAGAAAAAGTATAAATTTTTGTTTCGTTGTAAAGTATGTTGATCCTTTTATTTTTATACATCACAATAAAAGGTTATGCAATGAAAGTGTTTAAATTAATTAAGAATTGTATTAATATTAAAAATACTAGTGTCTTAAGTTAATTTGTTTGAGCAATTAGGATTAACATGCATTTATTAGACGTTGACCAATAAAAAAGATATTACTGTAATTATAATAATGCATAAAAAAGATATTTACTAGCAGAAAATATTGTGAAAAAAAGCTGTAATTTAAATGGCATTCAATGTGAAATCCATAATAGTACAAAATTATGTGGGGCACATTAAGGTGTGCTGCAACACAGAAAAACAAATATTATAATAAATGCAACAGGGTATCAAGAAAATTTTGGGGAAACTGCCTGTACTTGTTTCGTTACAGGAAAAAGATAAAATCATAAACATTTAATCGTATGATGAACACACACTTTGTAATATTATTTCAGGAAGAATCCATTTATTCTTCAGAAAAAAAAATCAGAGACAGTTCTATCAATTCAGCTTCAAGTATACGGAAAATTAGATGAGTAAATTTATAGAAATATCGATTGTAACGAATTAACATAATAAAGGAGAGCTCAATCAATGAGATGGAAATATCATTCTTTGTATCATTATAAGGGCTCATTACCCTAAACAGTATCATTCTCATCAAGAAACAGATTTCAGAGTTTCTGGAGTGTTTGACTTTAAACAAAAGAACCTTTGGCACCAAAATATCTTGAAAGAGAGTAAGTAAAAAGTAAAAGTTTATCTGGAAGTAAATATGTATATCTGGAAAGTAAAAGTATATCTGGAGTACTGAAAAAAGATAGTTGCTTCACAATTTAAAGCAGTGTTTCAGTAGTGCTACAAATGTAATTTAATATCCAATTATTTTGCTATAACACATTTTTTGAGACCGAAAATAGTTAAATGACAAGCATTTCATGAACAAGGCAAGCTCTAACCAGATTAGTGTTGAACTACTTATAAGTGGTTCAGTTGAGTATTTATTTACGTATGATAAATATTTGTTTACATTATTTTATAAAAATAGATATGAGAAAAAAACGACATCTATAAGAAAATGTTAAAAAACAACAACAAACAAACTAGACTAATGTAATATAATATTACGTAACGTAATATAATTTAAATAGTGCAAACTGTCATACCTCCAAAGTTCTCAAACATACAATGTTCATTAAGAATATGGGAACCGGTAAGTTTGATGTCTTGTGGTACATTAGCATCAGGTCTTCCAACTCTGTATTAAAAAAAGCATAATTAAAAGTCTTTTCAATATTTTTTTCTTTATGCTTTCAATTACCAATACAAAGCTCTTTTTAGCTTTATGTAAATTCTTAACGATTAAGAAGAAATGAAAATAAAGAGAGATTAAAAAAAATAATTACCTAGTGATGCCATCTTTAATGTAGTAAATTAAGCACTCAGACATTAATGGATCTTCATTCAAATTAACAAGATGAGGAGTCTACAACAATAATAAATATATTGACTCTATTTATCTGAACAAAACTATTTTTTCAACAAAAAATTAAATTTTGCAAATTTAAAATACAGTACAGAACCCATTATCCGGAGGTGTATAATGGAGGTGTTAAGTGCCAAAAATTGAATCTGAAATATTACTTTAAAAAAGTTATATTTTTATTGCTATTCAGTACATTTGTTGATATCTATCTACTATACATATACAGTACAGAACCCGCTATCCGGAAATCAGGAAACCGGAAAACCAAAAAACCGGAACGAAATTCGATAAATTTTCCCATTATTTTTTTTAAAAAAAAAATGTTTTTTTCCTCATAAGATTTTAGGATTTTTCTTTCTTTTTTGAAAGATGTTAACCTTATCATAATTTTGGAAATAATCATTAATGTATTACTTCATCGTTTTTTCTTCTTTGTAAGATTATTTTCAAAATTTTTTTTTTAGTTGGGTTTAACAATAAAAACGGCTTTTTGTAGCGATTCAGAAAACCGGAAAAATCAGTTATCCGGAATAGCGATGGTCCCGATCGTTCCGGATAATTGGCTCCCTACCAGTACAGAACACGTTATCTGGAAATCGGAAAACCGGAACGAAATTCGATAAATTTTCCCGCCATTTTTAAAAAAGATATTTTTTTTTCCTCATACGATTTTACTTTCTTTTTTGAAAGATGTTAACCTTACCATCATTTTGGAAATAATCATTAGGGTATTACTTAATCGTTTTTTCTCCTTTTTAAGACTATTTCCAAAAATTTTTTTTTTTCAGTTGGGTTTAACAATAAAAAAAACGGCTTTTTGAAGAGATTCAGAAAACCGGAAAAATCAGTTATCCGGAATAAGGATGGCCCCAATCGTTCCGGATAATCGGTTCCCCACTGTAATAAGAACATATAAAAACGATTAACAAAATGTAATCTAATAAAAAAGCAAACAATGGAAGATGGATCACTCTTTGTTTATTCTATTGAGGTAGTGCTTCAACACAAGAAAGCAATTTAATGAAATTACTATTTGAAACCTAAATTTAAAGCAGTTGAATTTGATTCCTTAACCCTAGAAGTTTGAGTCCCTGAGCTAAATTGTACTGAAGTTTTTCTGCTATGCACCACTTTCCGAATGAATAGCAAGGGGAAAACCAGTTTTTCGATGCAGGAAAACCTCACCAACACTCAGAGAATTAATGATACAAAAGTTTATACATGCAATAGCTTGACAATAATTTTTGTAAAGGTTTCAAATAGTTTAAGAAATATATTTATGCAAAACATATTAAAATTAGATATGAAATCAGTATAGATAAGTGCTGAAATTTAAAATGCATAGTTAAAAATGTCACTGAATTAGCTATTTTGTGAATTGAAAGTTTAGTGAAAAGTGTTATATTGATTTTATAAACAGTATAAACAACCTATAGAAAGTGGATAAAGATAGTGGGAAAGGAGGTAAAATTAATAGTTGTTTAGTTGACTGCCAAGTTTAAAGTTTCACTAATCTTTTGTACTTGTTTGCTTCGTATGGAGGATAAGAATTTTATTTAATTGAAGCTTTTGCTTTTTTTTTGGAGGAAAAATTCTCGCAATATAGCAAAATCGCGAGAATTTTCTTTTTTTTTTGCTTTTCCTTAAACTAAGATTTTCCCCTCTAAATCTTGTCAAAATCAGAGGAGGCACAGACTTACTTGATTGAGAAAGCAATTCTTTACATAAACTAGTTCCACTTGATAATGATTTACAAAAAACTAGTTCTTAAGCCTTGTGCGTATTTCCGATATGTCAGTTGTATCTTAATATTGTTTCATTGACAAATTATAAATAAATATGTTCTGCTTTTAAAAATTTGATTGTATTTTGGCCATACTGTCACTAGGGTTATTGTAAGATATTTTTAGTAACTGGGTATAATTTAAGTTTGTACGATATATATCAAGCTCATTAAAAATGCAAAAAAAACCGAGCAAACTTCTTAAAAATTTCAAATCAAATTAAAAAATTCTAACCTTTTTAGGGGAAAATACTCCAACCGTATCACCATCTTCTCGCAAAGCCACACCCATTTCTGCAAATACTGCTTCTCTGAAAATCATATAACATGATAAGTAGAAAATAAATGGCAAATTAGAAGTATTACAAATAAATTATTTACAATTTGAAACTATATGAAAAGTTACAAAGCAATTTATTAAACACAAAAGTTCACTATTAGATAGAGAAAGAGTATTAAAAAAAGTATTTAAGTAAGATAGAGTATTAAAATAATTATATCAAGTTTTTTTGTCACTCAGTAGTAACTGAATTTGAAAAAAAAAAAGACTATATGAAAGGATCTTTTTTGTTACTGGTAGGCATTGTTTACTTTTCACATAAAACGTATACTCTACATTTATTACTTATTCATATCATGGAAAAAAGATGGCTTTATAACTTAATTTAGTTGGATTAGATGTCGTTAATTCACTTTCACACTATCAGTAATATTTTTAATTGGTTGAACTAAATTCAATAGAACAATAACAAAATAATAATCTGGAAATTTTAAAGTTAAGTTTTTAGTTTCCTACATAAAAATGTTAAAGTTTTGATAAACTAGTTTAATTAAGTAATAGGGTTACTAAAACATTAATAAAATAATAAGATGGAAATGTTATGCTAAGTTTTAAAGTTTCCTATGTAAATATGATAATGCTTTAATAGCTACATAATAGGGTTAATTAGTAGGCTGATTAATGCTTTTCTAACTTGTAGTTTTAAATTGTACAATAATTGCATAAAGAAATTTCATGCGTAAAATGTAAAGAAGAACAGAAAAGTTAAAAATAAGGGAAATAATTATATTTCCTTTATTTTAACTGTTTTTTTTTTAAAAAAAAAATTTGTTTTAGTCCTTATTATACTTGAATAAATAATACCTTTGCAAACGAATTGCTTCAGTTTTTTTTAGCTTCTCTTCCCAGGTTTCATTTAACTCAGCAATCAGTTTCTCAGATTCTTGTAGTTGTTCTATTACATCCTCACCATTTGAAACTGTTCTTTGTTTTTTCTTATTATGAGAATTTTTATTGTTTTCATCTAAAAATAATATATTCAGAAAGTAATATTTTAATGTTTAGTTAAAGATCTATTAGTAAGAAAACAATTCAATTGAAGTTAAAAATAATATTGCTTTTAAAATAAAAGAAATACATATGATAAACTAGAAAATAATTAATATTCACAGTATTTCTTTTTTGAGAAATGAAATAAAAATATGAATACATATAATAACTTTTTTTATGAAAAATGAAAGACATATAATAACTTTTTTACATAAGTTCATTTAACTCAATAAAATTGCATATACTTTAAAAATGCCTAAAAACTAATATAAGAAATAAAATCACTGCAATTCTTTCAACTACACACATAGCTGCCAATATATTCAATATGTTATGTCCATATTTTAAAGACAGAGTTTTAATGGAAGGCAAATATTGCCAAACTTTTCGGTTGTATTATAAATTTGGAAAGAATTAGATCTTTAATGGGTTTGTTGAAATCCAGAAAAAAATTCAGCTCAATCGCTATTTTTTTAAAGAAAGAGGAATTTTGGCAACTATGAACAGCTTGCAAAAAATATTTAAGCCATACCAATCAGTCAGAATAATACATAGCTAAGCAAAGCCAAAATTAAAGTCAAACTGGCAATTTGCAACGCTGATACACAGCAAAAAATCACTTACAATTCAAATTGAAATTGTTCATTCCATCGACAGCTTTAAAAGCAAAGAAGAAAATCATTGTAGAAGGTTACTTTCAGTTAAAGAACTTTAACAAGACAGATAGAACTAAAATTACGACTTCCAAAAATGAAAATCATGGGCGCCGATGGAGGTTTTTTATTAGGTTATTAATTAGTTATAGGAGGTTGTTAATTAGTTATGATCAGTACTAATAAATAGTTTCACATTTCAATGCAGTAGGGCAGAATAGAACTATAAATCGGCGCCCATGTTATCAATAAAATCAGAAATATGCAAGACTTTCTAATATTAGTAACAAAAAATATTATACAAAATTAATTAAATATTTTAAAATTCAGGTAGGTTTCATTAAAAAAAATAAACAAAAAAAAACGTACAAAAAAACGTGCAAAAAAATTGTGTCAAAAAACAAACATACCATCTGCATCAATTCCACCAGCTCTTAACATGGCCTTCAGCCTTTCAATTTCATCCTTCAATTCACGTATGAGTTTAGCATTAGCATCTTCGTTAACAACAGCTTTACAAACAATTTGTTTAGCCCTATCAGCATACCTAAATAAATGAAAAAAATTAGTTTTATTTTTATGGAAAAAATAAAATATTTATTTTATTTTTATGGTATTATAAATTTTATGTCTTTGAAATAAATGTGATGATCTAAGAAAAAATGCATTAAAGTCATTTGCTTAGTTATATTTTCTGAAAAATCTAAATTGTTGACATAATTTATAAATAAATATTTTTAAAATTGATGTTATATTCAAATTTATATAAACTGAATGCTAAGGTAATTTTAAAATTCTGAACATTTCTTCTATTATCATAGTTTGATGAGTTGCTTTTTTGATAATGCAACAGAATTTTTGTCCCCTAACTTCAAATCCCATCTGTAAGTTGATTTTTTTAAAAAAAATATAATATAAAAAAAGAAGAAAGTTACTGAAAAATTACATTTTCACTAACTGAATTTTTAAAATTTTTTTTAACCTTTAAATAGTTAAAATTCGAAATTTGAATGAAAGTTGGCTAGCTTTTTATTTACTGTCTCACTGAAAATTTTTCATGCCTTAAAATATAGAAGGACACCTTCTCTCTTATACTGTTATATTTCTTTTGAATAGTTTATACTATCCTAAAGGGTTTGCATAAAAAATTTGCAGAAGTTGAAGAGTTTAGCGCTCCTAAATGTTTTGAAGAATTTCATGAACAAAAATGTCACAAAATACAAATAAAAAAGTACAAACCTTTCAAAAGTTTTCATTTAAAGCTTTAATACAAATAGTGATGATGTAAAATAACAATAATAGTTTCTTAAAAAAATTAGTAAATTAGCTCATAATTTTTAACAAATAAAATTTATGTGTTGTTATTATACATGCAAAGTTAAGATAATACTCAAATAATGTATTTGAGTATAATAAAATGCATAAAATTATTTACTCAGATAATGTACCTGAGTAAGTAATTTTATACATTTTATTATTATAATTATTAGGATTGCAAGATGACATAAACATGAATTTCTGAATAGTTCTCATAATTATAGGATGTTTTATAAAATCTTAGAATCATTCTTCATAAAAAGCACTCAGACATGGACAACTTTCATAATTTTCAAAAAAAAGCAATTGTTTTTTTCAATGTTAGTCATTTTTTGGACACATCGCTTGTTGCTTGGAAAAAATGTAAAGGTTAATTCGGTAACACAATAAATTAAAATAATTTTCATTCATAAAATTCAAATCTACTTTAGATGTTGTCTAAGAAATAGAGATTAGACAAACCTTAAGGTGCTTAAAGTTTCATCATAATTTATATCAGCTGGACTAATTGCCGCAATCATAGCAGTTTTAGAATTACCACCTAAAAAAAAATAGAACCATGAAATACAAAATCCAAGCAACGATTTGCATTTAGGAAGTTATTTCAAATCATACCTAAATTTTCTCGTAATAACCAAGTTAGAGCTGAATCTCGGTAAGGGATAAAATCTGCTTTTTTCTTTTTCTTTGTAGCCTAAAATATACAGTTAAGAGAAAAGAAAAATAACTTGAAACAAAATTCAAAATGCATTAAAGTTCAAAAAATAATCTTTTAGAAATAAGAAATATTTAAATCCTCTTAGTCCATCATCATTAGAGAAAAAATTATACAGATTTTTTTTTCAAGGAAAGTTTGGACTAACACACTGAGGGATAAATTAGTAAGTGCTAATGAACATAAAATAAAACATAATTTTAATATTTAATTTGTTAACAATTTGAGACATGAAAAGTGAACTTACAGCCTTCAATGTGAGCATGAAAATAGAAAAAACAAAAACACTTATTTTAATTAGAAATCGCAATGAAAATATTTTACTAAGTACAAAGCAGTAAGTAATTCAACCAGTTCTAACTACAATTTAGATAGCTTTCTCAAAGAATTAAAATGTAGAAACAACTTTAATTTCTCTTTTTAATAAGCTGGAATAGTTTGCATGCTTTAAATCTCTCTTTGTAATAAAATCAGTTCATCCAAAATTATTTTCAAATAAAAAATGAACGTATACATAGAAAAGAAGTAAGAGTAAAATACTAAGAAAGAACTCACAATTTCAGCCAAGGCAGAAATCACTTTGCCCAATGTAGTCAAAGATTTGTTAATATTTGCTCCTTCTTTTAAGCGGGTCCCTTGAGCTCCAGTAGAATCTGCTCTTTCACTACCAGCTAAATCTACAAGACTAATTTTGCTGACCTAGAAGATAAAGAAAATGTAATTATGCTTTAACTGCAAAATGATGACAAATGAAACTTTTTTTTAATGAGAAAAAGATATGAGGATATAACTATAAACCCTAATTTGTAAAATTAGCCATAATTGTTATTTTAAATTAAAAAAAACTAGCAAATAAATTTAAAAAAATTTAGCACTTTTTTTCTTACAAAGCCATAAAAAGAAACTCTAGATGAAACACCCAAAATTTGTATCTGTAACTGATAAATCATAAACAAAGATAGAATAAAAATATAAATGCACTGAATATTACTATACTGCGTTCTGGTACAGCAAGATTTCTAGACTATCTGGTGCTTTGCAATACATCTAATAAAGAGCACAGTTTGCATATTATCTTTTTATTAGCATTAAGATCATTCCATTTGCAAATGCACATAGAATACAACATTATTATAAGTCATCATATGAGCATAAATATTTAAAGATTAAGTATTAAATTAGTTTTTGCTAATGAAACAATGATAAAAAAATAATACTTAAAATGGTTCCTATAAAATTCTAATTTATTGTCTCTATTTATATAAAGCAAAAGTCTGCATGCATATTCGCTAATAACTCGAGAACAGAAGCACCAATTTGGATCACATATTTTTCTATTGTTTGCATTTTCATAGGATCATTAGTATCATTCTATTGTTTGCACACTACCCATTTTTGCCCAATCTGGAAAAGCCCCAAAACACTTAAAATCTAAAAATGCAAACTTGTAAGAGGTGAAAATTAAAGTCACTATTACTGATGCAATGTGAGTTAATAATTGTCACATACTTGACTTTTGACTCTATGATTTTATATCTCCAGACTAAATTCTTTTTATTTAAAAAAGCAGACCAACTGGTCGCCAGAGGCAACGCTAGTCTCGAATAAAAATAACATCAGATAAAATATACCTTTTCAGCGGTAAGGCCACTAGTTGAATCATGTTTTCTTTGAGTAAAAATTATAGTGAACACAGCATGCGATCGGCTGCTAGTTTCATTCATGTTTGTAGCTGCTACTGTCCTACAATAAAATGCAAAATGATTTGTAAATTATTAAAATATGTTACAATTTAGAAATCAATTATGATTCAAGTCATAAATTTCTAAATACAAAGTAATGCGTAAAATTTTGGTTCATTAAAATAATTATTAATTTAAAAAAAATCTAAGTTAATATAAAAAAAAATATTTGCTTTTAATATTTAAATTTTTTTATGCAATAACTAAAATAAGTACTTTAAAAAGGATTTCATAAAAAAAAATGATATACCAGATAAATGATGATTTGAAAAACTATTTGTTTTTAATTTAATAATTTTTTTTACATTTTACTTAAGGGATTATCTATAAAATACCTTCACTGAGAAGGAAAGTTATAGAAGAATGTTAAAAAACGAATAAAAAAAACAGTAGAGACAGATTTAAAACATGAACATTAGGGTGGTAACAAGAAGCAAAAGTTCAAATTTCTTTGACGGCATCCTATACACAGGCACCCTTTGTTATAAAACAAATAGTACGAAAGTTTCAGTTCAATAAAATAATATTAAGACTCTGCACTAGAGGTTCAAAATTTAAAAAAACGTGATTTTTGTAAAAGAATGCAGTTTTTTTCCCCATGAAATTTAAATGAATAGTTACAAAAACACAAACATGGATAACTTTGTAGATATTGATATAGGTCCCCTTTTAATGCTTTTGGCCGATCATTTCATAGCACATTCAAAGTTTTGCTTTTTTTTAACATTACTCTCCGCGATATCACACAAAAAGATGTTTGCCAATTAGGCAAGACAATAAGTCACCACCATTAATGTAACCTTTAATGTGATAGCTACAGAAATTATTATTACTACACTCTGATGTGGTAACAGAGAGACTATTTGTGAAATAAAAGGCAATTATTAATTAATCTCAATAATTTATTGATCATACATCAACTCTCTTCATTATATTAAATCAATACACTAGAGTTTCTACATCTATTTACCAAAGAGATAATGCACTGAAAAATAAATTCATTCAGATTTTATTTACTTTTATTTGTCAATTTCTGAAATTTTAAGCCGATATAATAACAAAATCATTATTATCTACTTGAACTATTATCTAATACTTAACAAATTGCACACAGATTCCTCAACACTTTAAAAAACTGACAGCAAAAAACAATTTTAATTTTCAGTTTATTCATTTTGCAAATAGATTTTAATTTTAAACGAATAAGTTAAAAATATTATCTATAAAATAAGTACAGGTTTGTGTTTTTACAGCTATCTGTTTGGGACTTTATAGCAAAAATATGTGTAATTGTTGAAAATGTTTTTTCTCTTTATTTTTAAAAACTTTTATTCTCTGCCCGGGACCAAGGGCTAAACATTATTTTATTGAGCTAAAAATATCAAAATATTATTTTTGTAAGAAATGGCATTTTTTTTAAAGGGATGACAAGAGAGATACAAAAAAAAAAAAAAAAAAAAAAAATTCCCACAAAAACTATCTCATTGAACATTTCTCAAAAGAATATTTGAATGATTAATCCAAAATTATTACTCTTTTTAAAGTCAAAAATTTTTTGGTTGAAGGTTCACTTATTCACTTTTTTTAATTAAAGTTAATGCTTACTACTAAGGAGAGCAAAAGAAGTATGACAAAATGTTACAACAGGTAAGAGCAGACAAGTTTAATGATATTTAACAAACATATTTTATTGATAATTTCTTACATACAAAATAAGCAATGAAATTTCCAATAATAAATAAATAAATATTACTGAAGCTGCGTGAAATAGGGGATTTGGAATCCCTAAATTAGAGAAGAATAAGGTGATAAGATAACATGCTATAAAGGGAAAAAGCTCCTAAAATACTCTATTTAAACAAAAACGTTCCTAGGAATAGTATTTACAACAAATTCAGATTATAATAATGTTTTTAAAAATGATTTAGTTATTTAAACACAGAAATTTTTTGGAAATTACCAGAACAAAGTTAGGTTCAGATTGATTGGCATTCCAGTGTGATTTCTTTATAATCCCAGTTCTGTATATTACAATGTAGAGATATATTCTAATGCCTTACCTTGCTTTATTTCCTTCATCCATTAAATCATGAATATCTTGATAATTAGTGACGGCAAGCTTTGAAAGATCTTCCACATAAGGACCCAGCAAAGGGTGTTCTCTCACTCTAAGATTATTTTTATTTTTTGGGTTTAATAAATCACGAACTCTTTCACAGTAAATTTCCATGTAGCTTACCTATTAAAGTAACAAAAAATAAAAAAAGATTACTAATTTCATAATCATTTTTAGCATTTTTTCTAAACAAAATGAAAATAATATAATTTTTATAGTCAACTTTTTAAAATCAGTCCTAAAGAAGCGTTCATCTCCCTAGCAGACTCAACTGTTGAAAGACTGGAAAGAGGCAGAAAAATTCAAAAACTGCTTTTCATCCGTTTTCTTTAATTTTCAGAAATAAACTGTTGATAGATACTTTCTTTGTTTGGCAGTATCTTTCCATGCAAATCCCGCCACCCAATCATAATTTGAGATATAAACCGTGCAGAATTTTACATTCTCTATTAATTTTTCTCACTAAGTTATGCCAGTACAATTCCCCAATCAACAGTTTTTAGCAGGTGGTAACATAGTATACAGTTGCCTGTTTTTAGATTTTTGATAAGTATCTTTGTTTTTATGCTATCAGCATTAAAAGAATTAATTAGTACTATCCGAATCAGTTTTCACCAGTCTCAATTGTAATAAAATTAGATTTTCAAAAAAAATCTAAAAACTGCAAATTGTGTGATTTTAAATTACTTACTCAAAACCACATATTGCATCATTTTATTGCTTTGAAGTTTTGAGGAAAAATTGATAGAAGTTCTAAAAATTATCCAGTCTAATAAAGTGACCCCTTTATTTTCTGCCTTTTTTTATAAAGGTATTGTGCTATCTAATAATACTATATCATTAAAGGTTTGTAAAGTGCAAAAAGTATCAAGAAAACACAAATTAAAAATTTAACCTAAAGTTGAAGATGGTGAGAATAGAGGCCTCTTAATCATTCTCATTTGTTTAATTTAAAACAGATTTTTCTCTTAAGTACGATGAAAAAAAAAACTTGAAACAGATGGTTTGTGACATCCAAGTGATACAACAGTTAAAGTATTTGCATTACACATAGTAAGGCAAGTATAGATAATCTATATTAGTGTTCCCCAACCCCAGGTCCGTGGATCAAATGGTACCGGGCCGCCCATTTCATTGAAACTGAATTTAAATTTCTAGGTTTATTCCCCAAAATTAAAAATATCTATGCTCCATTAAAATTTTAGCAGTAACAGCAACCAAAACAAAGCAATGGAATAAACTGGACGTATGCAACACACTTCGGGTGTCATTGTCTCCAATTACCCCCAGATGGAACCGTCTCATTGCAAAGAAACAAGCTCAGGGTCCTAATTGATTTAACGTTCTAGTAAGTTAAAATGCTAAATCACTTTATATTTATTTTTTGGTGTAACTGTATTATAATTTGAAGACATGTTTAAATTCAATTTAAATTAATAAATCAAAATAATCTAAAATATAAACAATCAACGTCCCTCCCCCCCAGCGGGCCGCGGTAAAATGATCAAACGTTGACAGGTTCGAGGTGATAAAAAGGTCGGGGAACACTGATCTATAGCGTATATAAAGTTGAAAATTCATATTCAATGAGAAAAATTGAAAATTCACAAATATGAATTAAGAAGGTAAAAATAAGATAATCTAAAATGGAATTTTTATAGGTATGACCTATTTTCAGACCCACTTATTCAGTAATATGGAAAAAAATCATTTTAGATAAATCATATACTTTTTCCTTAAAATAATTTTGCTCCATGTAACTCTACTGAAGAAAATCTCTGAAGTCACATAAAAATCAATGGAAAGGAAAATATAAGATAGTGAAAAACTAGATTACAATTAATGGAAATAAAAATATAATGAGATAGAAAAAAACAAGATAGTTACTTCAACAGAATAAAGTGTATCATTGTTGTTAGAATCTTTAATTTTCCTAAAAAGATCTTTGCATATGTGAGGTATAATTCCTTCTTGACCTTCTTCTTGTTTTCCCATCATTGTGTAACTCTTGCCAGCTCCTGTTTGTCCATATGCAAATATGCAAACATTGTAACTGTAAAAAAGTGAAAAATTTGAAGAGAGTTCTCATACAATATCTTTCCATTAACATTGTATTTCAAATATTACTCAATTAAATTTGATTTCAAAATTTATAATTATTATTTTACGGATTTGGGGCAATATAATGGTAAGATACTTTTTTTATATTGTTCAGGAGAGCATTTTTGTGCAAAAAACACCAGGATTTCTATACAGGCAATCAGTTATTGCTGTGCATAGTTCTTTATTTAGTGGAAAATTTTGAAAATCCTAAAAAATCTATTTGGACTACAGAGGAACAGCTACAGTAAAAATACCACCTGAAAAAAATGTGGCTCATCACTACATTGCCCCAAGCCCTTCATCTATAATAATAATAAGTTATGGAATGCTTCTTTCTGAAAAGTAGTTTAAAAGAAACAAATTCTAAGGTTAGTTAAACTTAAAACAAATATTATAACTCAATTTTAAAGTTTTAAAACATGTAAATAAAATAAAGGTATCTGATCTCTTTGCTAGTGACTAAGAATGTTATAATAATAATTAATCCAGTTTAAAATTTACTTATTGAATATTTTTTTACATAGAAAAATAAAATTAAAATATATTCAGTTTTCAGGTTTTTTATATTATGAACTATAAAATTTTAAAATTAGGATGTTCATTAAAATATTAAATTATAACTGCTCTGTCCAGAAGTACAGGACTTTGTCCTGTAATGATTATAATTAGTTTTTAAAAAGTAAGCACATAATTCTAGAATTTTAGTTATAATAACTATTACATTTTAATGAAAAGATTTCATGTGTATTGTAGTTGATTTTAAAATAAATAAACATAACATTTTTCAACACTATTACCCTTCAAATGCATGAAGAAGCATCTCTTCACCAATATCTTTGTAAACAATCTCTTGTGAAGCAAATTCAGGATGTGTATTCTAGAATGAATAATAATGAAAAATATATTCAATTTAAAAGGAGAAAGAGATTTAAAATGCATGAAATACTTCTTAGTTTAAAATAAATTTTTTAAATATTAAAAGTTTTGAGCTATCAGATGAAGAAAGTTTTTAATTAGTTAATATTTTAAAACACAAGTCACACTAAAAACTCTTACTATAAGGTAATCATCATTATTAATGATCATAATTAGTAAAGAATTCCAGAAATGAAACAGTAATAATTAATTATCATTATTCTCACATTATTATCATAATTCTATAATTATTTGCGTTATCACAAAAGTATAAGGCTAATACTTTCTTACAATACAGAAGGATATAATCTAACTTATTTAAAAAAAAAAAACATTCTGAGCAAAACTTTCATTCAATTAATTTTATGCAAAAACTAGTTTCATATATATATATATATATAAATAATATCCATTTTGTTATTAACGTATTAACGAGATTTCATTACATTAAAAAATTTGCTAACATAGTTTACAATCGTCACTCATCAAATAAATATAATAATTAGGTTAATATAATTGCAACAATGCAATAATTGAATGATATCAAACTACTATAACTTTTTAAAACATTAGGTGATGTGTAAAAAAAAGGTTGCTTTATTGTAAGATAGCTTTTTTTGAAAATACTAAATATCAAACTAAATTCAAAAGATAAATAGAATAAATAACTAACAATATTATTTGAGTACAAACAAGAATCCCTTAGGAAACATTAAAAATTCAACATTAAAAATTTGAGTATAGAGCTGTATGTGCATTACAAATACAATTTGACAGTAGATCATTATTTCTTTAAATGAAATAAATGTTTTAAAATTCTCGCAATACTCACATCAATGGATAGGTATGAATAATCATAATTAAAGCTTTTGATGGCTTCTTTGGTATTAGCAGGAGCTTTTGGATTAGTAATGGCTAGATTAAGGAAAACACCAGTAGATTAATAAATTTATAATGTAAAAGAAAATGAAGTTGCAAAGGCATAAAATCATATTTACTTGTAGTATTTCCAGTCATATTAATTATACATTTGCAGTCTCTATGTATTTCTCGATTGTTAAAAGGGCGTACCCTTACAGCCACTTTGACTGACGTCATGTTTGGTTTATTTTATCTGTTAAAAAGAAGAAAAAAAAGATTACTAATATAATAATTTATTTACTTCAAGAATAAGTATAAATTATGAGTATATTTTGGATCACAGAAAAATAAAATTATTTATACTCCATTGAAAATAAAAATATAGAGAGCTAAAAGTCCATTATGATCCTGATTTTGATCTCTTTCTTTTTCTGATCTAATGATTTTGATCTTTATTCTGATTTTATGATCTTTTTTTAAATTTAAATCTGTTTCATCTAATTTAATGGTCATTAAATTAGTGCACATATATCTACCATTAAATACATTGAACATAGTCGTCAGCTATTGAACATTTAAATTTTTTACAAGAAAATTTCTAAATTAATTTGAAATTCATACACATACTCCAAACTTAACTCATTTTTTACTTTTTCCTCAAAGCATAAATCTTATACTTTTCTTAAAAATAAATTGTCTTATTCCAAATCTAGAAAAGGTGGCGATTGCGTTTGTGATCAACCCTATGAGTCACAAGTAATTAGAGTGTATATGATTACTCCCATGGCTATTAATTAACATGCATCGAACAGTGATTATGGTCAAATAGTTCGGTCAATAGACAGACAATCTACCAACCGAATAAGCTGCTTGCTTTATACCAGGGGTTTCCAACTTATATGAGGCCGGTGGCCGCAAATAAAAACACCACCCGCAATTAAAAATGGCGGGCAGCAACTTCATCGAAATTTAATATAGGAGTCTTTTATGTTTGAAGGAACATTAAATATTACCGTCAGATTTTTATCAAGTTGTACAAAACAAAAGTATTGAATTGCAAATTAAAATAAGAAGTAGATTTTTAAAAATATTTAATTGCATATTAAATAATTTTGGTTACAATAACTTTAATGTATTAAACAATAATTATACATTAAATCAAATTTAACAATAATTATACATAATTATACAATATTATACATAATATCAATATTAATTAAACAATAATTATACATAATATCAAATTTTTAAGATATAAAACTTAAAAGTATTTAAAACCGATATAGATTTTCTCCAAAAATTTTCCTAAAAAATGACAACTATAGTTAACTATAACAAAATATATTATAATATATTTTGATTCGCGGGCCACAATGAAAGGTTTCGCGGGCCGGATGCGGCCCGTAGGCCGCCAGTTGGCAACCACTGCTCTATACTAATTATTCGAAATTCGGACAATTCATTTTCATTAAGTTTAATAAAAAAGTACTGTTGAATACAATTTTTGATGCTAGCAATAAGCTCAGTAAATTTAAACTAACTTTAAATCCATGGTGAAAGAAGTCTTTGTGTGTATTCATTTACAAATGACATTTAAATTGACACAATGAAAAATATAAAATTTGCATATGATTACATATTTTCATTTTAATATTGGAAATAGTTTCTTGAATAGAGGCGTGTTTGTCATGAACCTTTCCATGAAGCAAATTCCATGAACCTTTATGAATGGATGAATCTTAAATTTGTTTTATATTAATCATGGGTAATGATCAAAGTTTACTTATGAATGAAAGTAAAAAAATCGACTAGTCTTACATTTTTAAAACAGGATAGTATGTCTTAATTTGAATTTATGCAACTTGAAGCTAGATTTTCGAATTTTTTAGAGCGTTTTTTGTTCTGTTTTGTTTTTATTTTAAAAAATTCCCATAAGTTAAACATTAGACAAGTGTTAGAGTTTTAAAACAAATCAGCAAATGTTTAAAATTATAATACCAAAACGGTGAGAGTTTTGTTGGGGATACTTGCGTTTTTAACTTATTAATTCTTTATTTCCCAATATTTTAAAAAACAAAACTTTTAACCTGAAAAGCTGAAAGCAATAACAAAATTATTTCTTTAATAGCATTTACATTGGTCGACAGGGATTTTATTTTAAGGATAAATGTAGCAGTTTTTTATTGTTTTGCTATGAAAAAGTCTACGTGACCATAAAAGTTGCTAACCAGGCTCCGTTTTTCTTCATTTATTAAAAATATATATATTTTATAGATAGCATATTTAGCAAATTGTCTTGCTTCATGTAACTCCATTTGCTTGAGGCTTCATTAAAAGGTGGTTGCCAAAAAAGTGTGATGATATAGATTCGAATATAGGTATTAAATACAGTCTAGACCAGTGTTTTTCCAATGAGTGGTACGCGTTTTCCCAGGGGTACGGGAACAGTATAGCGGGGGTACGCGTTCTTATACGAAATGTTTTGCAACAAACGAAAATTTTAAAGAATTTTACTCAAAAACAAAGCTAGCCATGAAAATTAACGATTATGTATTTTTCTATTGACTATTTTTTGCAGAGTTAACAGTTAATAATTAGTGGTGTCAACAGCCAGTTGTGATTTTTTTATAGTAAAGGTTTGTAATAAATTCTACTTATTTTGATTATTTTTATAAAATATAATTTTTATCCCTAACATAGAATATAGATCGCTGGTTAGTATCTACAGGGGTCTGTCCAGACATTTTGTGAAAGGTCCGTTTTTGTAAAATTGTGAAAAAATTACTCGTAATTTGTGAATATAAAATAAACGTTAAGTCATATTCTTTCAACCAGGGTCCTGCTTTTGTTAATTTGTACTAATAGGGTCCTGTTATTGCAAAAACCTTTTTCAAGGAGTTTTCAAATTGTAAAGAGATACAAGATTATGCTCAACACTGTAAAATTATAATTAAAAAAAAATTAAAATTTAAAAGATAAACAGCAATTGCTGCTACTAAATTAGAGATGCAACATACAAATATTTGGTATTCAGCCGATACTGCTGAACTCAGAATATTTATTTCGCACAAATAAAGGAAGAAGGGTCTGCCGAAGACAAAACTTAGTTTGTTTACATCTGTCTTTCTCCCCCCCCCCTGGGAAGGGTTTATTCGATTAACAAAACAATAATGAAGATAAACAAATTTGTGAAGGGTTCGATTAAAAGATAAATTATTTTGTGAAGCGTCATTTTTTATGAAAAGATATTTTGTGAAGGTCCGTTAACGGACCCAAATTTCTTCTAAACAGACCCGTGATCTACAACACGTAATGATGATAGTAGCAATCAACTGAAAGAAAAAAGTGAAGAAAACCAGCAAGTATGACAAAGAATATCTTCATTTAGGATTCTCATGGACTGGGGATGAAAATGAGCCTATTCCACTTTGCGTCATTTGTCTTGAATAACTCACAAACGAAAGCATGAAACCGTCCAACGTAAAGAGCCATTTTGAAACAAACCGTAATAAGTACCAAGATAAATCGTACAAAGTACATAATAAGTACAAAGATAATTTTCAAAAAGTAAACACGAGGAGTGTACTTTAACATCATTCTGGCTTACAAATGCAAAATATGTACCCAGTCTAAACAGAAAAAGTTGTGAAATATATTTTGCCTTTTCCAACTTCATATTTATGTGAAGTCTCTTTTTCAGTATTCCTGGACATAAAGTCGAAAAAAAAGAAATAGATTATTGGACGTGGAATCGCATCTCAGACTAAAATTGACCACAAGAGAACCGAATTATGATGAACTGTTATCACAGCAAAAACAATATCATCCTTCTCACTGATGAAAATAAACTTATTAACAAAAGTTCCCCCCCCCCAAAAAAAAACATTAATTTCTTTATTAGTGGTACACAGCGTTACGAAAAAGTTAGAAAGGGCACACAAAAGTCATAAGTTTGGGAAACACTGGTCTAGACTAAGGAAAACAAGTCCAGTTAATAATCTCGTTCGCAAGACTCGCTCGTCAAGATTATAATCCTAGCGGGTGATTTAAGATTTGACTGGTTTGAGAGTTCCTTCAAAATACAAAAACTCTGGTAAGTAACATACCTCTAAAAATATGTTTTCTGGATTAACATTTGGATTTCAGTGCTGTGAACCACAAAAAGCGATTCCACTAAAATATTTCAACATTAGAAAATGGTTATCAAGGAAAACAGAATCAAACATGCCTACAGACCATTGCTAGGCGCTAAATAAAAAGTTCTTTGAAGTTTATACTAAATAAAATGCCATTTAAGTAAAGTATAAACAAAAAAGTCGTTAAAAATTAAATTGTGATTCGGATGAATGCATTTAAGTAACGTAAAATGAATATTTTTACATTAGTAAGGGTTATTTAATTTTGTATTAAAAAACTTTAACCATTGCTAAAAAAATTTTTTCAAAATTTGAAATCAAAAAAAGTTTCTATTACAAAAATTTAAAAATCAAAACAAAATTTTCCATAACAAACTGCTATTTTAATTCATTCAATAAACAAAAATTTAAATTCTGTTGATCGGTGTTATTTGGGAGATTCAATACATTCGCACCCACCATTCCTACCATTCTAAATTAAACTTCATTCATTTCTGTACAACAGGTAATTTAAAAAATGCGATCTGACTAAGAGTAGCTATAAGATTCGATTCCGTCATTAAGTAAAGAATTTTTTTTATAAAAAATTAAATCACGTTATAAATCACGGAGTTAAAATATAATTTTAACTCATTTTTGAGGCTTGACATAATTTCAAATAGGTCATTCAGTTTTCAGAGTTATCCAAAAAGAGAAGAAAAAAAAAATTGTTTTTGATTCGGTAGATTTCGGTTTTGGAATTCACGAATTCAATTAAGATAGCAATAATTTATAATTCTTTTTAAATCTATCAAAGTTGAATAAAACCATGTAGACTGTGGGATTAAGAAGTAAGGATTTTTTTTTAAAAATGGATAATTTTAACAAATCCGCATTTTGTGACATAAAAAAGTACATAATAATTGTATCACTTGCAGGGATTTAGATTATTGTAAGTTAAAACTAAAAGGTAGAATTTTATTGCCATATGCTCTAATTTACGGAGGTAAAAAAATTGCTAAAAAAAAGAGATTTTTTTAAAAAAAAGTTTTCTTTAAAGAAATTGAAGGTTTAGGTAATAAGCGTAATAATTATGAGAATTATTAAACAACAACGACGATTTGACAGTTTTTATAGC